GACTCTATTCAAGAGAGTCTATTCTATTGGCTTTCAAAAGCCAATAGAATAAAAGGGAGTAGCACAGCTAAGGAAAAGGGGAAAAAATGGCGGACTGCGTTGTTTGGCGACCCCCGTGAAATGGTCGTTCAACCCCAAATGGGGTCCCAACCCACAGGTTGAGAACCACTGCCTTAACCACTAGAGCAAACTGACTCTCAAAAGACAGTTCACAAATACTTAAAATTATTCTGCAATTATTTTATTTAGAAATTAGGTATGTGATATCCAGCACTAGGGATCTGACATTTATTTTGTTCTTGAAAATAAAACATAGATTATAAATTACAGCGCCTATTATTTTTCAACTATTACAACTCAGTGGGAAAGATTATTCATCAGACCTATCTGACTCTAATTATACACAATACTCCACTAATAGTTGATCCTCTCAACTAAAGGATCATTGGTAAAACAAGCATCTTAAAAGAGTGTCAGCATTTTAAAAAATGAAGTCAGTAGATAAGGTAGGCTAAGAAAAAACATGCAACCGGGACATATCATACCACATGATCCTGCAGCTGTACCCATAAGCCTGGTTTTATTTTCAGAAGTTCAGACACAAGATACAGGACCCCACAGGCAAATGGTGGCATTTGTCCGCAGGTGACTTGAAGTAATCGTTTCACGAAAGCTTTAACTCGTCGCAATAGTGTGTCAGCCTTCAAAGATTTGTAGACAAGGTTGAGAAACATGGATGGCTTGGCACATAATGCTACTCCGGGATCTAGCAACTTCCTGCAAAAAATATTCACATTAGATCATTGCAGATATTTTCTTATGTAAGCAAATCATCTCCTCTCTGGAGAACTTAAGATTGCACACCATACAGTTGCTCCTCACAAGGAGACAGCAGTCTCCAGTGGGATTAGAACTCTGAGACAGCAACATCTCCATCTTGTTCAAGCCACAGTCAGTGTCTTTATGGACACTGGGTTCGCATACAATCTTTTCTGATCACTTTCAAACATGGCTTGTTAAATACTTTTCAGATATTAGGAACTTTTGGACTGACAAAATTTATAGCACCAGATTTTTTTCCTTCAATTCTTTGCAAAAGAGGTTTTAAATACAAGTTTAAGGAGTCAGGACTAAAAAATATTTTAGAACAAAAGGGTGATTACAATTTAATTTTGAAATGATGTAAGAGTACAGGTGGCTTTGAAATAAGATTTTGAAATTAATTGTAAGACTCCTTCCAAGGAAAAATGTTGTTTTGAATGCTCTTTAAAAAAATGATAGGATGAGACTCTGAAGGGTGGACACTAGAGGAAACTAAAAATTATAATTAAAGGAGAAAAACATTTAAATTTGGCTTACTAATACAGAATGAAGCAAAATATTTTAACACTGGATATATTGAAGGATATTTTTGAACAACAGACCCAGAAGTTAATTTTAAGAGTGTCTGCCAATTGGATTTAAAAAATGGTTAAGAGGAACAAATTTTACCTGCAAAATTGAAATTGATTTGAAAGTGGATTTAAAAACAGACTACAACAATTATGAAAAAAGATGCTATGCTGGACCTATAAAACAGACCAGCTGGTGACTTAATAATTAAAAGCGATATACAAATAACAAACCAAGAGAATGAGCCAGATAATTTTCTTATGTTGGATTTACAAAAGAAGTTATTAAAACTTTAATGAATTCTCTGAGCAGGGATAGAGAAAAAAATGAAAAGAAATCAAGTTCCAGGATATTATTTGAACTTTGTTAAAAATAAAAGGAATATAAAGTTCACTTAATTTTATCAAGGTTAAAATAGATGTTCTCTCTTGACAGCCCTTAATGGATTTTTGCTAATAAAAACTGAAATGTGGTGGCTTTAAGAATTTATTTATAGATAAGAGATGGAATATGGGAAGAAGTGATCATTTGTTGTATTTTAAGAGATGATGATAAATTACTAAAATCGTTTATACTTGTGATGAAGTGGGATGTCATTTCTTTGCATACTTTTTCTTTACTATGTTGTATTTTTATTTCTTTTCTGCATTTTCTATTCTTTTATATTTTTAGTTTATATTTTTATCTCTGTAGTTGTAATTTTTAATAAAAGTATTATTTAAAAAGGATCAAACACCAAATAGTTTACACATGCATGAACTCTCCAAAAATACAGGTTACCTATCCCTTGTCATTAGTAGATATGAGTAATTAGTTGGTACAGAAGTGACTGAAGTGCAATGTGCGTATCGCAACTTAAAGAAATATTATTTTAAAAAACAAATCAAAATATGCATGGCACTTACTTATATAAGGCTATGTAATATCTGTCAGAGATAGTCTGATTAGAATCCATCACCTGAAACAGCAACATCAAAGCCTGTACACTAGTATTGAAGTTCACAATGTGTAAAACTTTAAACAAGGTATCCATTTGGTCTTTTATTTTTTCACTGCTCGTCTGAGCATAAGGATATGCTCGATTCACTCCAGTCAGTAGAGCACTAAGCATTTTAGATCCAACATCCTTCTTCTTGATGCAAGATTGGAAAAAACAAAAGTAGAGGGTTGTGAGTTTATTAGCCAGCTCACTTTCTTCATGGCTAAGAACTATCTGGTTCAAAAAGCAAACTGCATAGTATTGTGCTTTGGGGTTAATGTTTGATCTGTAGAGAAGCCTCTCCACTTCATTACACACTACTCCTTTCATATTGGGGTGCTTATGAAGCAAAATCTCAAGAAGATAAGATGCTTTAGTGGCTACTTTGTTTTGAGGATCTCCCAGTTTATTGACCAACTGAACAAGGAAAGCCTTTTCTTGCTCTACTTTATTACAGAGCAATTCATGGGCTGTGGATAGTGCACGACCCTTTGTTGCTATCAAGGGATCATGAGTCAATGATTCTAACACTTGCACAAACTCAGCTATCCAGTGCTTCAGGTGATGCTCAAAATACCACAATATTAAGCGCCTGTCTCTTGAATCCCTGTTGCCACTTGAAAGCTTCTCCAGATTGTCAAAAGGATGTTGAGAGAAAGTGTGCAGTTTTCGATTATCTGGCAAGAGATGAGTCATGAGAAGTTCTTTGAAAGTATCCAAGGCCATTAAGCTTTGCCTTCTGCTGCCTTTCTTTTTGATCATATTAACCAGGATCTCTATAAATTGAAGTGAGTGAACAGGAGCATCTTGGATGAGAAGAGTCATAGCGGCCATTCTGTCAGCAAGTGTTCCTGATGATACCACTGTCTTCATCCATACAGACGATGATCTTTTCTGCAAATTTGTGTTGTTTTTGTAGAGATTTATTTCCTGTTCATAAAGTTTTTCAGCCAAGGCTTTGTATTTGGATACAAGAAATTGATTTTGAATTTCAGCAGAAAATTCATTAGTATACTCCAGGTCATACCATTTTCCCCCTGGTTTTACGAGCAATGCCTGTCGCATATGAAACTGAAAAACATCTTCTTCCTTTGCTTTCTTTGTTCTCAGCAAAGATGCGCTGTTTTCATTGCTAATGGGGTTTGGCTTTTTCACTCTATCTTTAGCAGTATTCAACTGAACACTTACTTTGTTTGCTTTTTTTTCCTTGTCTTTTTTTCCTATTGTAGTTACATGTACTCTTTTTTGACTAGTCTTTTCACTTGGGGAAGATTCTTTTTCTGGTTCTATTGCTGCTTCCTTCTCTTTTTCTTCTTCTTCCAGAAACTTTTTTGAATATTTGCTCACACCTAGTGAATTTATAAATGCCTCTAATTCACCTCGATTTAAATCGTCAATTGCTCCTTTTTTGCCCCCATCTACAAGCTCTTCTGATTCATTCAAAGCAGCGAGCATGATATAATCTTGCTGTATAAAATAAAATCAAGAAGCTATATTAGTGTCTTTAATTCACAATTGATAATCATGTGATAAGCAACTAAATCAAAGAGGAAAATTACAAGATATATTGCAAGTATCTTAAAACAAAGAAACCTAATAAATTTGTTGAAGTCAGAACAGAAGAATAATAAAGTTTCCTGAATCTAATATATATTTAAAAGACTGACAGAAAGACATTGTTTTGCTTTTGTGTTAGGTTAGGATTTAATAAACAGTCACAAGTATGCTAAGAGAAAAGTTATACTTTGTATTTGGGGGGGAGCATTAACAGCTCAACCAAGTGTCCTGAGCCTTCTGCCACCGTCAGAAAAGACATGGGTAATCTGTTTCCAAATTTTCAATCCAAAACCACTGTAACAAAACCACTGTTTCAAGACTTTGCAAACATCATCTGTTAAAAGTTTATCACTGAAATGCACTTCAGTGCTAGAGTTACACCGTATATGGCAAAATCTTGCTTGCAATCTAGTTTCACAGTGCATTCTCAGTGGCCAACCAGATGCTGATAAAAAATGCCACAATTTTGGGCATTTGGGGAATTTGAGGACTTGTTTTCTCAACACATCTAGAGGCCAGCAATCTGATAAATGTCCAAGGCACGAAGCATTTTATCGTGAGCAGACACGTCACAGGGGGAAAAAATACAGCATTCAACCAACTCTTTCAATAAAGAAGAAGAAACCCCTCGATGTTAATTAAATGCTCTGCCAAGGATTTCAGCTACCCTCCCAACTCGTGCTTTCACAATACTCCGGTCCCTGTTGCATCAATGACGGTCTCTTACTTTAGTCCCACCGAGGCGCAGCACCTCCTCCAGCGTAAATTCACTTTCATCGTCGGCCGCATCGTCGCTATCCATCTCCTCGAACTCCGGCGGCGCCATTTTCCCCGGCTGACCACGCATCGTAGAGCGAGTCCCCGCATTTCCGGGAAACAGAGAGGACCCACCTCTCAAGGACCTGGAAGATAGGGAGTAAATGAACGATAATGAAGCGTCCCTGGCTTTTTAAACATATCGGGGAAAAAGGCCTCGGTTGCCTAAGAATATGTGTAGAACGACTGTGACCTTCGACTGTAGGTCGAATTGGTTATTTAAGAAAGAGCCCTTTTTATTGAGCTGCCAGGACTTGCGCGCGGACGAAAATACTGACAACGAGAAGGAGAGGCATGCGGCTCGTGCTTTCAGGATATGCTATATTGCAAACCGCGCGCTTCGGCGTGCGGTGCGAACGCTCCATTGGTTTCCCTAGGAGCAAAAACAACGCAAGAGGCTGGGCTGGCCACTTGGCCCGCCAGAATGCGCAAGTCTCTGTCCCTTCATCCCGAAGTAAGTCTTGTAGATCTCGATGCTGTTTGATGCCAAATAAATGTGCCGGAGTTTCCGTGAACTTGACGGCTTGCTCTGCACCTCCTACAACATGTGCAGTACCTGAGGTACAGTACCTCCACTTCCAGCTGCTCCTCTTTAAGATAATAAGATAACCTTTATTATCACTTTTTATTACTATCACTTTCTGGGTACACCCTGGCACACATTAAAAATGAAATTCTGATGCATACTCTCAAAAGAAGTACACACACACACACATAAAATCTCAGTACACATACATACACATCTATATCTTAATCACAGACCATTTTAAATACATTGTGGAAAAAAGAGGCTGCTATGTATATGTATTTAATATGGGCGGATAATATCTCTAGTCATTATGATTAAAATCTGCCTTTCCCTTGCCACTCATTACTACTTAGGGCTGGTTTTATCCTAGAACAGCAGTTATAAGAAGCTGTTATGATAATGTGCAAAGGGTGTAAGGTAAATTCTGCAGTTACGTACTTTTACCCCTCTCCAGATGCCTATGCTCCCAGATATCTCCAGGACCTTCTCTTTTATGTATAATTTATTGCTCTGTTGCGCTTAACGGTGAGAAGAGATACTTAGGATCTGCTTTTTAGGATGTACTTGGTGAGAAGCCTATCACAGTGTTTTTCAACTGTAAAACTCTGTAAAAACTTTTCCTTTCTAATAATATCTCCTTGCAATTTCAGGAAGGTCTTGAAAACATCACTGTTCCACAAACTTTTAATATTTACAGTAATTGTATTTATTATCAGCATGTGGTGGGGTGCCTATGGCTGGTTATTTAGCTTTATTCAATTTTATTAAATGTGGTTGCGCAGTGGTTAGAATGCAGTACTGCAGGCTACTTCTGCTGACTGCTGGTTTCCAGCAGTTTGGCAGTTGATTTTCACCTGCTCAAGGTTGACTCAGCCTTCCATCATTCGGTCGGTAAAATGAGGACCCAGATTGCTGGGGGCAATATGTTGACTCTGTAAACCACTTAGAGAGGGCCATAAAGCACTGTGAAGCGGTATATAAGTCTAAGTGCTATTGCTATTCCTATATCCTGACTTTCCCCTGAAAGCTCAGTACTGTACAGTTATATCTTCATAATAACCTTGAGGTGGACTAGCCTAAAGAATTAGTAGCCAGTTGAGGAATTTAGTCAGCCCTGTAATGGAAGCCATCTACAAAACGTTTGTTCAGGTGCTCAGAATCTGCAATTTTGAAATCAGTAAAGAGAACAAAGAGGTTGTGAACCCATTTAGATTAGATGTTTTGGATGCCAAAATATTTTGATACAAAGCTACTTCTTGTAACATTCTAAGATTTTATCACATTAAACAATAGCAGAAATGGCACATATTCATTAAAATAAGCCAGAAGCTAATAAAATGCACAATAAAAAGGAGTATTTTAAAAGGGCTGATCAGTTGCCTGAATGTTGCACAAAATTAAGTAAATGTTAGCTTAGTCCCTGTGAAGTTTCAGCTTCTCCAAATGCCATTTGAATAACATATAAAATGAATAGTTTGAAAAGTATTTTACATATTAAAACTGATTACTTGGGAATATGTCATGTTTCTTTTTATGCAGGTTTTTCCACTGTATTGAGATGCCAGCACTTTAGTTCAGAAAATAAAGCAAAAGACAATAGCCTCATGACTCCAATGCTGAAACATCTCATTATGAAAATAAAATCAACTGGTCCTATTACAGTGGCTGAATATATGCGGGAAGTTTTGACAAATCCAGTGAAGGTATGATCAATGACACTATTAAAATGTAGAAGTCAGCTTTGTGGAATTAAAGCTCTAATTGTTTATATGAACCAAACCTTTAAGAATCTAATACTTTATTCTTTAACCATTTGAAGCTTATCATTTAATACATATTTTTATTTGTGCACTGGATAAAGCATAAAGTTTGGTAAGAAAGACTGCCATTTTCATTAGTGGTGTGTTCAAGGAAGAGACAAATACCCAAATTTTCTTCCTCTTGGATTAACTGTTGCTATTTTCAGTGTTGTCTTTATTACACAGGGAAAGATTTTCTGTTCAGGTTGCAAAGTACAATCCTGATAAATTGCTTCCAGTTCTATGCATCGCTGCATTACTTTAACATGTACTCAGCTGCACACCATTATTCTATTTCCAAGTAGCAGTAAAGTTGTTTCCTTTACATCGGGTGTCAAACTCACAACGTGATGTATCACAATGCATCACGACTTTTTTTCCATTGCCGGCAATGCCGTGGGCGCGATTTCGGCATGACGGATCCAGCCCGCGGGCTGGCAGTTTGACACCCCTTCTTTACATCATACTTGCTTATTAGTTTATCTGTAACTAAGGCCAGGCTGCTTTCTCTCATGCTAAGTTCGAGAAAAACAGAAATGAAATTGCATGAACTCATAATTAATAAAATTGGGGGGGGGGTTCTTACCATGATGATGATGAGAGAGAAAGCATATTCAATGGAATTTATATATTAAACAATAATAATTTATTTTCAGTCATACACACAAACACATAGTATCCTCCCAAAGGATCCCTGCTTGTCCCTTCTCTTCTACTCAAATAAATATCCCTCTGTCATTTTAAACTATAAATAAGATGTTACACAAGGGATTTTCTCATCTGAAATCTTATTTTTACATTGCAAGCAAATCTGTTACATCATTTCAACTTCCTATTTTTATTTGATAAATAATATTGCAAAGTGTGGAACCATTCATGTTTTCTTTATCCTTCTTAGAGAACTGTTATAAATTTTCTGAATTAAAGCTGACTAGCAGAGGAATATAATCAAAGATTAAAATTTTGAATGTTGCAAATAATAAATAATATTTTTTTCTCTTTCCACAGGGATACTATATGCATCAGGATATGTTTGGAGGAAAAGGAGATTTTGTTACTTCACCTGAAATAAGTCAGATTTTTGGAGAGGTAGCTTTAAAAAGTATAGTTATTTTTTCATGTACATCAGGCATGTCAAACTGCCGGCCCGCAGGCCAGATGCGTCACGCTGAAACCGCGCCCACCCCATTGCCGCCAATGGGGGAAAAGTTCCAATACGTCACATGATGTCACTTGTTTGACATGCCTGATAAACATGATTATGTAGGTTACAAGCATTTAAGATAAAGCAGTAAAGAATCAAAAGTAATTTCAAAAGCTTTGTCAAACTTAACAAACAAACTGCATTTTCTTGATGCTATATCTCTTAATGTTTACACCTAGCCCTTTTTATTTTGACATTTATAAGAACTCTGGCTAGTGACTGCTGATTATAGATTATAAATTATAAAATTAGTAATGTCTGAATATACTAGAATGTTTTTTATCATTTGTTTCTGGACTCAAATGATTTAACAGTTCTTGAGACATTGTGTTTTGTAACTGATATTTTGTGATTAATTTAGAATTTGTTATCTTTTTAATACTATGGAAATAATCTACTCTTTGAATTTCTACTTAAATGTTTTGACATGAATTGGTAATGTAATTTTTTTATATTCCTGTCATATTGCTGCTCTGTTTTGGACCACTCTGAGCTCATCTTTAGTTCCACTAAATTCTGTTTTGGTCATACACCACAATGTCAGTTTTAGGGTTTAGCTGCATTAAAGAGATATTTGTAGAACTTAGAAGAGAGACACAACAAGTATAATTTCTTCACCAGTTGTATATTATTTCTAGTATTAGAACTGGTGATCTGGTCTATTTCCTTGGGTGGTTCCAAGGTCCACCCAATGCAGTCATAAACTTTTAACTCCCATTAATTTCAATATTATTTAAATAATTTCATAATGTGCAAAATATGTGGGGGGTTTCACTTTCCCTGTGATTTTTGAAAAATATTGTATATATTATATATACATACATGTATCACTCAATTTATAAATATGTCTAGTTTTGCAGTTAAAACTTTTTTTTTTCTTCAGTTAATAGGTATTTGGTTTGTTAGCGAATGGATGGCTACAGGAAAATCTCCAAAATTTCAGCTGGTGGAACTGGGCCCAGGTAGAGGTAGTCTTATAGACGATATTTTAAGGGTAAATAAAAACAATCTTTTTACATATTGTACTGGGTAGTGAAGAACAAATTTGTTCAATTTATTTTCTGTGACATAATTTTTCAAATTTAACTTCATTCTACATCAGTTTGCAATTGTTTAAGTTTGCACAAAAATATAAACATACTTTCATTCACCCACAAATTTGTATGCACGATGAAGACTGTTTTCTTAATGTGCACGTTTTGTAAGCTCTTACCTTATATACCTTCAATAAATCATTTACACTAATGTACATATTTTGTCTGATTGCTGGATCACAAAACAGCATTTCAAAATTCAGAAAAGCAGAAAGTAAAAGTGTCTTCCAATGTTGTCTATTTGTTCATCTGTCAAATGTCTATTTAAGTGTCAGTCTTGTATCTAGCTACATGTTAATTACTTGTTTTTATTTATTTATTTTTAATATAACAATAGCATTTTAGGCTTATATACTGTCCCATAGCACTTTACAGCACTCTCTGAGCAGTTTACAATGTAAAAACATTACTTGCATATTGCCCCCAACAATCTGGGTCTTCATTTTACTGACCTCAGAAGGAAGGAAGGAAGGCTGAGTGAACCTCCAGCCCTGCCAGGGTCGAACTGCAGGCTGTGGACAGAGTTTGTCTGCAGTACTGCATTTTAACCACTGCGCCACCAGAATCAATTTGTAGAAATGCCAAACTATTATATGCTACCTGAGAGATTTACCTCAATGATATAGAACTGGTATCAAGTGGGACACTGAGACAAATGTGGTATTTAGCATATTGCGCTACATTTGCAAGAATAGGCAATCTTGAAAAAAGAAAGAAGAGGAAAAGGACAAAAAGTTAATTAAAGCCTGACTTTAAAGATAATGAGGGCAGCAAATAAATTTGACAAAGATTAGATTTATCCAATGAAATAAATATGTTGGATAATTCTTATTTCCAAATCCAGTTTTGGGTGGATGACTGGGCAGACAGATAGTAGATGTAAGCTCTAACAGTATTCTCTGTGCTTATAGGTTTTTACTCAGCTGAGCTCCATACTTAATAACTGTGAAATTTCTATTCATTTGGTGGAAGTCAGTCCAAAATTAAGTGAAATGCAGGCATCAGTGCTAACAAAAGAAAAAGTAGAATTGCCAAAGAGCTCTAATGCTTACATGCACGGGATTAGTAAGACTGGAATACCAATTTTCTGGTATAGAAACTTGAATGAAGTGCCAGAAGGTAAGAACTACTTCATTTATTGCTTTTCAGTCAGAAGTTGAGACTAAAAATTATTTACTAATCAATAATTTGTTAGAATTAAGCTAAATTTTGCAATGAAGGGAGATAATCTAGAATTAAGGTACATGTAGCTATAGTTTGGCTTTAATGAGTAAGAAAACATTTCGTTCAAAATATCCAATTAAATTCTTGAAAGAGTCCGTTGTTTATCTCTGTAAACATAATTTTGCAGTAGACCTTCATTTTGTATTTAAGAATTATTTCAGGAAATGTTAAGCCTGTAACAGCCTCTTGCATTTGTGTACATTTGTATTCTATCAAGTTCATTTTATTGATAAATATAATTTATTTATATTTATTAACCCAGAAGCCTTGATCCATTAAGCTTTCAAATAGGTATCAACTCTTAGTAACCATTTAGATAGAAAGATTCTCTCCAGTAATCAACAGTCATTTTTTTCCTCATTTATCCATGCAGTTTTCTTGGTAAAGTAAAATAAAAGCAGTTATTCCTGCAACATATGTTGAAATATAATTTGAGTTCACTAAAATCATGAATTTTGACCCATGATCTAGCTCAAATGGGTCAGTCATAAAAATAGTTCCTAATAAAGATTTTGGCTGTATATTGTAAAACTGGAGGCATTTTTATTTTTAACTGATCCCTTTTTCCCACTACCTAGGCAACAGTTTTTATTTGGCACATGAATTTCTTGATGCTCTGCCTATTCATAAATTTCAGGTATGATCACACACTACTATAAGATTTTGATTAAAACTTGTTCAGTGTTTTTATATTTGCTGAGGGGTGGTAGAAATACTGACTGCATTAATATAGTCATGGGATATTTTTTACCTTAAGATAGCCATTACAATAAATTCTATGAGGAATGTATTAATGTGACATTATTTGCAAATAAGAAAAAAGTCACATCATCATTGAGAGTTTTTCAATTATATATTCTTTAATATATAAGAAACTGGAGTTTTTATATAATATTAAATATATAAACGTAGTCTTATAAGTATACCTACTGTATTACATAAGTTACAAAACCATAAAAGAATAATGTAACTATCATTATGAATTTGAGGAGCCCTGTGCACAATCACAAATGCAAGATAAGGAAAGATAAAATTCCTTTCTACAGATAGTCCTTGATGCACAACAGTAATTGTGTTCACAATTTCGATCATAAAGGGTGACCACACCCAATTTTATGACCTTTTTTGTAGTGATTGTTAAGCAAATGCTGCAGTTGTTAAACAAACCCATTATGCAAAGGTCATCTAGTCATGGGTGATCATGCCCTATTAAATGTATTATTACTAACAAATGCTTCAAGACTTAAAATTTAGTTCTGAAATTGCAGAATTGTGTGTGCAGACTACCATCATAATTAATGTAGTTTCTGTGCTTCAGCAATTCTTTTCAACAAAATTCCAAAAGAAACATCTACATCAGTGATGGCGAACCTTTTAGAGACAAGTGCCCAAACTGCAACCCAAAACCCACTTATGCATCGTCAAGTGCCGGGTGGGTGTGGCCAGTTGGGTGGGCGTGGCCCATTAGGTGGGCATGGCTGCAGTGGTAACGGAAGACTGGGTGGGACTAAAAAGTTCAATCAATCAATTCCAACTTTGCAAGAACTTTTTTTTCCCGTGAGAAGTTGAAATTGATTGAAACTTTTTTTTTTTTTTTTTGCACATGGCGGCAGAGGCCTAAAGTGAAAAAGTTTTATAAAACCCAGCTGAAGCCCTAGGACTGAGGCGATGAAGCGGGTGCCCACAGAGAGGGCTCTTAGTGCCGCCTCTGGCACCCGTGCCATAGGTTCGCCACCACTGACCTACACTGAGATAGATTTTGCCCTTTTTTCATGGTCTACAATCCACTTTAGAGATGCTGCTTTTATGTGCATATAGGTACACTTTAAAACAAAAATACTTCTAACTGAATAATTAAACTTAAATTTGTATATGAAGTTTTATTGTTAATCTAAATACTGAGCTGGAGATACACTTCATCGTACAAGTTGCTAAACAAAAATCTTTCAATGTTAGTCTTTAAAAAGTTTTACTTAACACCAGAATTAAAAATTATTAGGAGGTTTTTAAATCCAAGATTCATGTTTTAAACAAGCCTCATCAGAAGTGATAATCAGTATACTTATTCAATGAATCCACAGTATTCTATTTTGCCTTTTCAATTAACAGAAAACAGAAAAAGGGTGGCATGAGTTGTTGATTGATATTGATCCAGAAGCTTCTGATAAGCTGCGATTTGTCCTTGCACCATCTGCCACTCCTGCCTCAAAATCTTTCATACACGTAAATTTCTGATTATTTTTATTTATTAGTTTGTATAATCTGGTGGGTTTTTCTTTTGAAATTGTACTGCAATTCTATAATGATTCAAGACCATTCTTTAAAATGTATTCAGCTGAAGCAGTCATAACTGTTATAAAATCTTTTCTGCTTCTATTTTATTCATTTCTCTTGTCATAATACGGAAAAGCTACATCAGATAGAAGTAGACATGCAATATTCCTTTATTTGTTTTTAGAAAGGCAGTAATGGTCTATTTGCTTTACAGCAAAGCATTATGCTTATCACCTTGATTTAATCAAAATGTTTAATACAATTAAATTAAAACTGATGTCATATATTCTAGTTTAGTCAACATATGCATCAGAGGTAACCTTTTTTTTGTGACTTTCAGGAATCTTTTACTAAGACAGTATTTATGTAATTTATTGCTGTATTTCTTCTAAAGAGGTCTGGAAACTGAAATTCTGTTGAAACACTCCTGTTCCCTTAAAAACATGGTGCTAAGCAAGGAGAGTAATAATTCCAAAATCACTATCCTTTACACAAGATGTATATTGCAACATAATATTATGGACTGTTTCAACATCTATAGTTCAACTTAAATTTTATATTAGGATCAAGAATCCAGAGATCATGTGGAAGTATGTCCTGATGCTGGTGTCATCATCCAGAAGCTCGCTTCTAATGTTGAAAACAATGGAGGAGCAGCACTGATTATAGATTATGGTCATGATGGAACCAAAACTGATACTTTCCGAGTAAGTTGATTCATATAACTTCACTGTAGTTTGAATATGTGGATTTCAGTTGGGTGGTAGAAAGAGGGAGATGGACAAACAGCAGAACTTTTTTTTTAAAAAAAAAAGTTTTTATTGATCTTTTTCATACAGTTCAAAATTACTTGTTCAACAAACATGTCTGAGTTTATCATTCACTAATGCAATTTGAATTCCTAATCCCTTATTTTCTCCAGCCATTGATAAAATAAGTCCCAAGTTTAAAAGTGTTCTGTTTCTTCTTTTTCTTTCAACCTCAAAGTAAGTCTGTCCATTTCCACACAGTCTAGTATTTTTTTAATTATTTCTTCTTCTGGTGGTATTTCTTCATTTTTCCAATATTGTGCGAATATGATCCTTGTTGCTATTATCACATGTAAAATCAAATATATACTTTGTTTATCAAGCTTTTCTGGCATTATACTTAATTAAAAAAGTTCAGGTTTAAAATCTACATGTTTTCCCAACATCTTTTCTAGCCAAGTATGTATTTTTGTCCAATATCTCTTTGCTTTAACACATGTCCACCATATGTGGTAATAAGTACCTGACTTGTGTTTACATTTTCAACATCTATCTGACATATTTTTAAACATTTTTGCTAATCTTGCTGGTGGCAAGTGCCATCTATAAAACATTTTATGTACATTTTCTTTGTAAGAAGTTGACATTGTCAATTTATAATTTCTTTCCCACAGGTTTTGCACAATTCTTCCTTCTTCATCTGAAAAAATAATTTTAGAATCTATTGTCTCTTTAACATATACAGTTACTCCTCTCATTTTTTTTTGTTGTTGTTGTTGTGCTGAAGCATAATAGAGTTTCCTAATCTGGGGGTATTCCAAAAGTTCATAGTATTGTTGTCGTTTTTTTGTGTGTCTCTTGCAGACAAATTATATCAATATTTAATTTCTGTAATTTTTTAAAGATTCTTTTTCTTTTTGATCAGTCCATTTATGTTCACTGAAAAAAATCTGTTTTCCTTCTCCATTTTATTTACTTATACTGTATTTACGTCTTGTTGATCTCGTAGTCCTCTGCTCTCTTGCCATTCCCTCACCCTCTTGATCTGGCTTCTTTTTCTCTTCTTCTGTTTGTATAGTTGTTTCTTCTGTTGTTTGTTCTGTCTGTTTCTGGCCTTTTTTATTCTCTTGTTGATGTACTTTTTCACCCAGAATGCTCTTTTTCATCAAAATCTTCTGCCTTCCAAACTGAATCCAGTCAATATCTTGTATTGTTAGAGTTATATTGTTCCAGTTGAGTAAGATCCCTTCTGGCATTAACCATCTAAAGTTTACATCATTTGCAATTAACTATGTAGTCAAAAAGTGATATTGTTTTTGAGTGTCCCTTATTCTCTTAGGAATCTGCTTTAACACCACAATTTCTTTGTTTTTATATTGTAATGGATCATCCCCATTATTGTTTTCTTTATAAATCTTACATGAACTTCTCTAGGCAATTTGTGTTTCCTTGCATAGCTTGAATTCATTCGAAATATTTCATCCATTTCCATCTGTATCTCCGCTCTATCTGTTTTTAGAGCTTCTCCCAATAGATTGATAACCACTTCTGCTATATCTTCCTCCTTGTCTTCAGGTATATTTTGGAATCTTAAATCGTGTACAGCTTTCTCCATTTCCAAGGCTGCAACTGCTCCTTCTAAGCTTTGATTTGCTTGTTCTAGTTTTCATTTTCCCCCATTAATGCCTCTATTTCTTGATCAGTTTCTTCTGATTTGTCTTCCATTTTCTGAATTCTTTGTTCATTTTTAGCAATCATTTGTAGATGGGCGTCAAATTGTATCTTTATGTCAAGCATTTGCTCATTTAGCTTATCAAACTTGTTCTTTGTCTCTTCATGATTTTTCTGTATTGATTCTTGGATTAGCTGCATCTCTTTTTGAAAGCTGTTTGTTTTTTTTCATTGTAACATTGTTTCAATAGATACCTGACTTGCTGGACTAGATGTTCCAGAAAAGGGTACAGAAGAGGGGTTTTTTTTGTAATATTAGTAAGATTTGGTGCACTAATTTTTCAGTTGAGCAGGTTTTGTAAATCCACAAAGAGAAAAGGAAAGAGGAAAAAAAAGCCAACTGCATTAGGCTATTATCCAACCGTGAAACAAGCCAACTGCTGAAGGCTAACCCAAATGTTCCAGTTAGTTTAAAAATGTAAAAAGCCCCCTGTTTCCAAGTAGTTTCTATTATGGTTATATCCAAGGTCAGAAGATACAATTGTAGAAAGACTTTTCTAGCATAGAGTCACATAAACTAACAGGCGTTAATTCAAGGTCAGCAGTTTCTCCAGTTCTTTTAATGTTATTGCAGTATCTCCTTTCACCACTAGATGTCCTTATTTACTGTATTGTCTATAATTATCTAGGTTTAAGAAAGTTCTTTTTAAGTTACTTTCTCACAAAAATTAGATAAGGAAAATTTTTTCACATCGTAAAAGTTAACCAAATTTTCTTTAAATCAGTCCCAATTCCTTTTTTGTATATTCTTTTGTATTCTTTAATTTTGTTCCCCAATTTCCAAGTCTTCCTGGGGTCTTTCCTTTAGAATTTTTTTCCAATCGGGATTTTTATTTCCAAGTCCACAGGGAAGAAAAATAGAAAAAAAACAATTCACCCAGATCTCAGCATGTTGTTGACAATCAGCTGTTCGGCGACAGGCCATGGCATGCCACAGTTCTTCGCTTTTTTCCTGGTTGTCTATGACTTGGGTTGCCTGGGCATTTACAAGCAGCCTTTCTTCCGTCCATTTTAAGAGGTTCCTCTGTTCGTTTGGGCCAACTGCTATCAGCTCCAAGCTCCCAAAGCTTCCTTTCTTCTTCATCACCTCTCCAGGGCAACTTTCCGACTCCTTGGGGTCTCCAGACAGAGAAAAATCAAGCTAGGAAACTGGAGCTCTGATTTCTTTCGCCCATCTCGTCATGACACCAAACCGGAAGCCCAAACAGCAGAACTTTCTATTTCTACCTACAAATATTTAGATTTATTGCACTCTTATTATAAGTCATTTATATTGAATGAAAAGTTACATCCTTTTAAAATAAAAATCATAGATTTGGAAAGGGCCATTTATGCCATCACCTGTAAATTTATGCTTAGTACAAAACACTGGTGAAACCAGAGAGATACATATCCAACTTCTTAAATTCATCCACACTTCTCTCTTAATTGGTTTCATGTGAAACTGCTCTTATCACTAGTTTTTGCTATTCTGGGATAACAAAGACTGTGTGTTGTCTTTTTTTCCTATGCACTACCTCTTCTAGTACTCAAAGAATGCCTTGTCATCATCGTATTTTTTTCATGTGACAAATATACTTAAATCCCTCAGTTTCTCCTTATGGGTTTCAGCGTTCATCCCCTACTATTGTCATTGCCTTTTGTTGTATCTGTTTTAATTTCTTTGAATCTTTCATAAAGCAATGCACCCAAAACTGAGATGAAGTCTGAACAATGCAAAATACAATGGAATTAATATTTCCCATAATTTAGAAACTATTCTTCAGTTTGCTTTTTTGGCAGCTCTGGCACATTGCTGATTCTATTCAGCTTTTTAAAGATGATTTTTCACACATATTGTTCCCAGTCCAGATATTCCCCTTTGTATGCCTCTGCATTTTTTCCTGTTTCTTAAGTGCATACTTTTCCATTTGCTATTAAGTTTCATTCCATTATTTTAGCCCATTTTGCTAACCTATTAAGTTATTTTTGAATGTTAATTCTATCTTCTGGAGTCCTGGCTGTCATACCCAGTAATGTGTCATCTGCAAATTTGATAAGCATTATTTCCCCTCTTCCTATACAGGGAGAGTATATCTCCAGGACTGAATCTCTAATTTAGTATCTGATGTCAGGGTTCCAACTATGAAAGGTTACTAGCCCAGCCTGTGACAGCTAACTAAGAGGAAAGCAAGAATGGAAAAAATGTAAACATTTGTCTCCAATAGACAGGCCTGAATCTATGGAAAAAATTAATCTAAAACCTCAGTTTATAAAAGCAGGATATGAAGTATGATCTGATACAAATTCTGTAGCTCTCTCCCCTCATCTTCGGGACTGTCAACTGTTTTATGGCTGATGTTCCAATATGCCAGTGAAGTTTATATCTGCATTTCATCCATGTCTCGGAAGAGCTACCCACTCGTTTGAACTGCTTGACACTTTACTCTTTATGAAGAACTATCAATTAGCTTCTTAGACTATGATTGTTGAGCCAGCCTTTGATTAATTTTATACACTCACCATCAAGGCAGACAATTAAGGTACTGTTTAAAAATGTGAAGGATAGTTTGTCAGATAATGAAATTAAGATACTGTACACGGCAACAACAAGGAGTTACTAGTCAGAAAACGAAGTAAGATTAGTCTGCTTTGTTACTGCCAAATCCATAGTGGCTTCTGAGCATTGTTTCCGAGCACTTACCCAGCAATCACTTGCAATTTAGGACTGTCTGGTCTGTCTTTCCATTGATACTCTCCTTCCCCCCCCTCTCCCCCCTCCCCCCCCCCCGGATGAGGGATGTTTACCTCTTTGGTTGTCTGCTACTTCATGTTGTCCAGGGTTTCTCAAATATAATTAATAAAGATTTCATGAAATCATTGGCAAGTTTAATATCCTTGAATGCAGTCCATTGGCCCTAAAATATTTGAAATAATTCACATTGACTAGTCCCTTTGTTTCATCAGACTCAAGTTAAATTCCAGATCTTCACAATTGCCTAGGTACCTACTTCCTTTTTAAAGAAGACAGAATCAAAATAGGAGTTAATTAATTTTCTATATTATATTTCATCCTTTAAAAAGTCTGGAAAATAATTCATTCTTCTAAAAAATATACAATGCAAGAATTCTAATTCCCTGACAAATAGGGAAGCAATAATCAGGACTCCCACCTTCAAAACTAAAATTGATCACGCATAATCTAACAGAGCACACAGGTGAATTTGTCTATTTTATGTTTTCTGTTATTTTCAGGGATTCCGTGGTCATAAACTTCATGATGTATTACTGTCACCAGGATCTGCAGATCTCACTGCTGATATAGATTTCAGCTACTTGCGAAGAATGGTACAGAAAAGAGTAGCTACTTTGGGACCTTTAAAGCAAAAGGAATTCTTGAAAAATATGGGCATTGATGTTAGATTGCAGGTGAGGGCTAATTTTGTAATTAATTTATTCCTTAATAATCTGCTTTTGCCAAGAGCTCAAACCAACTTACATAGAGAAACCTTTTCATTTTATCCCAACAGCAACCTTGGGAGGTAAGTTGAGCTAATGGTACACACACACACACATACACACACACACACACACACACCATTAACCCAACATGCATTTATATTTACAGTTGCATATAGTTAAGATATAAAAGTTACTGTCAGGCATTAAAACTCAGGACACATGGGGAGGCAGAGGGGGAGGGGGAATCTGTTATTAATCCATCAACCACCTCCATTGCGCTGTGCCCCCATAGGGGCCCCAAGCTAACTGGGAGCCACGTTTTTAGGCCCTTACAAAAAGATAGGAGTTTCCTGGGTTGAAGGTGGATTGAAGTTATTTTTGGAAAATATCTTTTTTTAATGTAGGTTCTACTGCAGAATGCTGATGATGCAGTCACTCGAAGTCATCTGCTTCAAGGTTATCAAATGCTGATGGATAACATGGGGGAACGCTTTTATTTTTTTGCCCTTTTACCTCATTGCAGACTTAAGGCTTCACATCAGTTAATGAAGCCAGATCACTCACTTTCAACACCTGTTGCTGGCTTTGGAGAACTTTTATGGAAGTGAATTTCAAATCAGAATATGCATTCTGGTAAAAATCTAGATTTTCCATAAGGATCTATCCTTAGATCTGTCAGGAAGACAGTTGAGTTATTTAACCGTGGAAGATTTCAATCATACTCCTGTAACATAGCCAATATAAGGAATCATTGATATGGTAAAATTAAAAACATGGAAGATTTCAATCATACTCCTGTAACATAGCCGATATAGGGAATCATTGATATGGTAAAATTAAAAACACAACAATGCTGCTGAAAGGGAAGAGAAGTTTTAGATGGAAAAAATGCACAATACTGCACTGTGGAAGAGTTTCATAATTATTAAGTTTGCTCTTTAATCCCCCCGAGAATTTCCAAATTAGAAGGAAAAATAATTTCACTGCCAATTCTTTGGGTGATGCAAATAACGGTAGAAGTAGTCCTCAACCTATGACCATTCATTCACTGACCATTCAAAGTTTTGATGGCTCTGAACAAATGGTGGTTAGGATCAGTCCTCTGAGTGCTAACTGCCCCAGCATCCTGCAATGTAGGCAGCTGGCAACCAATTCACACAATTGGTTGCAGCACTCCATGATCGTCATTGGCTGTCATCCTTGCTGACTTCCTCAGAAAGTCAATGGGGAAGCCAGCAGGGAAGTGACAAGTCTTCCCCACCTGCGTGCTCTTCCCGGCTCCTCTCACCTTAAACCATGCCAACCACACAGACACCCCTCCGTGCCCTCCCCAACCGCAGATGAAGGATTGCCTCTTTATGGTTCCTAGTGAGCAAGTGGCCTTCAGAAAACAGAGCTAGTACAAACTGAGTAACAGTGCCGGCTCCTTTTCATTTGTAAATGTAGCTCTGTGTACTATTTTGTTGTAATAAATGGTTAATGTGTTAATATGGTGTGTAATTCATTTCAGAAAAAGGAAGGACAGAAATATAAGCAGTGGCTCATTCTTGCTTTTTAACATAAGCAGCCTGTCCTAATTTCTGAGGAATCCTTCCTAAATTCCACAACTATTATATCATGCTTATAATAATAAAAGATCCAACATGACTTGGCTAAACCGAGGCTATTCAAAAGGCTGCAACTCAAGTTTGCTACGAACTAGTGCCAAGAATATCATTAAAAACACTGGTTATTGTGTCACATTTTACTTCAACAGTGCATCTTGGTGAGCTTAAGGAAAGATCTAGAACTGGACCAAATTTCACATAAGATTCAAATTAGCTTGACAATAGTGTAATACTAATCATTCTAATATATTTCTATAGATCTCTTACAGCAAAAGTCTTTTTATGAATAGAAAAGAGCACAGTAGGGAAATAAAATTTATTTTCAAGCTTAGAGGATATTTACAAACAATGAGATATATAAAAATATAAAAAGTACTTGACAGTGTCTTTTGAGACTATATGTTTTACTAAAGTATTTTCTAGAATCAATACAGCACTATTTTTTGATGAATGCAACTTACCTCAAAAAGAAATATTAATGCTAATGCAGTTCTGGGTACAAATTCATCCGGAACAAATGCCAATTTAAAGCTTTGATGCAGTAATTTAGGCATTCAAAGGAACAGTTTAAGAATGCTAGCTATGCAATTTTATTGTTGTAGAGTATGAGTAACAGCTATTATAGAATAGAAACATTCCAGTTATTTTTTCTTTGGCCCCAATATCATTTGTATTCTTGTTCTACTGCTATATAACATTGTTATCCTGAAAACAAAAGAATAACCTAAGAGGCGTAACATAAAATACAATACATTCTCTAAAAGTGACTTGCAGTTATTTAAATAATAGCTATTCAACTCTACATACTCACTTGGAAGTAAGTCCCATTGAACTCAGTGGGATATATTTCTAAGGAGACATATACAATAGCTCTGTTAATGAATTCCACTGGGAACATCTGTGATTCTCTTTGGGCATAAATTTATAAAAAGACGGGAAAACAAGTATATTCAGTTCTAGTAGAGATTAGGCTGTGATTTAGGCTTGTTCGGTCATTTTCAGTCTAAGAGAATACTTTCAACTATATATTCCATATCAACTTCCAGCATATCTAGAAGTACTTTTGAATATTTCCTTTCAATCACTGAAGTCAGCAAGACATATTTATCATCCCCCATCTCTGTAGTGGATATTTTTTCTGGCCCTGATTCTAACATCTAATATGGGAAAGGTAGCAGTTGGCAAATTATTAGTTCATTAACAAGAAAAGAAAAATAGGTTTTTCTAGATTCAATTCTGATTAAACACTTTACCTCTGTACATCTTTCTCAGTACAGTCCCTCACTTTTTCCATAGCTAGTTATTAAGTGATAAGGAATAGTCTATTAATAAAATACTATTTTTCATTCTGCATGAACTCATTCTGTCTGTTAGTATTGATGAGGATAAAAATGAATTATATATAATGGTTATAATCTTCTGCATTTTACTTTCCATCATCCTGAAAAAGGTTTGTCAATTATAAACTATCTGAAATTGGGATATTAGAAAAACGCTACAACTGAAAATAGGAGTGTTTGACTAACGGAAAAACCAATATAAAAATATTAAAAGGAAATATTCTTTTCATATTAAATAATTGCTTTATGTTCTGCTGAAGCGTTCTCATATTAGATACTTTAATTATCTATTTTTTTCTAGCACCTAATCTTTTAGAAAATTGCACTCAATGTGTCTAGAAACCTGCTAGAAGAGTGGAAAAGTAACAAAAGCATTTTTATTTTGGAGTGCCTAGGTCAATGGTGGTGAACCTATGGCACGGGTGCCAGAGGCGGCACTCAGAGCCCTCTCTGTGGGCACGTGCACCGTCGCCTCAGTTCTAGGCCTTCAGTTGGGTTTTACAAAACCTTTTCACTTTAGGCCTCCGCCACCGTGTACAAAAAAAAAGTTTCAATCAATCAGTCAATTTCAACTTCTCGCGGAAAAAAAAGATCTTGCAAAGTTGGAATTGATTGATTGAACTTTTTAGTCCCACCCAGTCTGCTGTTACCACCGCAGCCATGCCCACCCAATGGGCCACACCCAGCCAATAGGCCACACCCACCCGGCACCCAACGATGCATAAGTGAGTTTTGAGCTGCAGTTTGGGCACTCGGTCTCTAAAAGGTTCGCCATCACTGGCCTAGGTAATAAAATGGTCAATGAATCTTGCAACTTAAAAAAAAAACTATCCGCAGAGATGAGAACACATTGTCAGAACTTCAACTTAAGTTCCTGTTGCACTTGCAGTAACTTGTACAGTGTGTATTGTATTCAGGTACTATTACTGTTCTGCATTCCCATAGCTTAACAAACTGTCTTACTAAATTATATGCCTCTGTGTTCAGATCTTAAATGGTCTGAACAGCATTATTGGTTCCCATCATCTTTACATTTCCAAAGTATATGCAGTTCACTTACAAATAATCAGTTAAAGGGATTTTTTTTTTAATCAAGTGTTTTTGGGAGAGGCATGCAACAGATTTTCTTTCAACAGCATGAAACTGCTCAAAACACATTCAAAATATTCAAAATTACCTGTTTCCCATTCAAAACAATAATTTCGCACTTGAAAAGGATATTTGCAAAGTTTCATGAAGTTTTGTACTCAAGACATTTCAGAATGAAAAGTTTTGCATATTTCTAGTTTTTGGTCACGGCATATACGTTCATGGTTCTTTATAGCTTCCTTATAAATGTTATCTAAATAGCAGAAAATAATATCTTTGCCTAAATATTTACTAGAAAACATTAAAAATTATTACTGTGTAAATTACAAAAAAAAAAGAAAATTCCCATACATCAAGTCTCTGTGTACATAAGCTGTCAGTAACATCTCTGTGATGTACCAATAAGGCAATATTACAGAAATACTTCATGGCTTTTAACTCAGTGCTTGGATGATATTCATAATCATAGAAACTAGAGAGATAAAAATGGTTCCCAGATGTCCATCCACAAAGTGATGCAGGATCTTGCCTTCACAGTTTTAGAGACTGAATCATCTGAAGAGCCAAAAGCATCAATTGTTCCAAAGTATCAAAACTTGGTTAAAATGCTTTTTCCAATGAATCATGGATCTTCCTCCATATCATCTGGATTAGGAGCCATAATGAAATGTTTGGGATATACAAGATTGTGTTCATATGCATGTTCTTCCCAGCGAGCATCATCACTCTCATGGGTAATGTAACGTTCTCCAATGCGAGTTTCAAACTCCCGAAGATCAAGCCAAGTTTGATAATCCTGCAAAGAGAAAAAAAAATTAAATGGAAAATTTAACAATATTCAAAATACAGTACAAACTCACTTCCCGATGACCACATTGATGCATGAATTTGACAAAAATTTCCTTCAAAATAACTTTTTTTTCTTTAGAGTGTTATCTCCTATCAAACTACTAACCACATCCAATCCAACCTAGCTTTTTATATATATAATAGTTATGGTAGGGTAGACGATTCCATCTGCTTTGGCCTTTCTAAGCAAAAGAATATATTTAATAGAGAAATGATTCACCTTAAAAACAAAATGATGCATAATATCTTAAACCAGAAAGAAGATTGGATACCTGGTAAAACAGTTCAATAAAAAGAATGGAAGATATAAACTACCCTAGGAACATACATGGGATAAGTTAGGCGATGTTACAAATTTTACAGAACAGATTTGAATTAGTTTAAAGAAAAAGCTACACCAAGAAAAGGTGAGAATTAAGTAGCATTGCTTTATATTTTTAACCCATTACGTATCCAAGGCCGAAGAAACTGCCTTCCTTGTTGCTCCTGATGCAGCTAGCAGCTATCCTAAGCTCCTCTTCCCAAATTAAATTGTTGGTGAGGACAAATAACGGACATCCTCTGAGTCTGGGTATCATCTGGGTCCTCCAATAGAGTTGACCCACTAATTAAGTGGGGCTCTTTTTGTAAACCCAAAGTTACTATACATCCTGCTCTGGGGTCTTTCAGAGTGAGGAGGAGAACATTAATAATAAATATAAGAAAGAATCTAAGCCAATAGTAACACACAAATGCATGAGTATTATTGATAATTGAACACAACCTGTTAAAAAGACAGAATAACACATCCAAAAAATGAGACGGAAGATGACAGAAAGTTTGAATTGAGTAACACTCTTAAATATTTCCAAGGCTTCAGTTAATTCCAGACTTGTCAGATATGATTCATATTAGTATAGTATGTAACTACCTGTAACCAAGGATGACTAAGTGATTTGTCAACACTGTAACGTTTTCTCATCTTCACTTGAAGCAAATTATTTATTAAATCAGTAGCTGGGAAAGCAAATGAAAACGCAATCAGGGTAAATATTTCATCTCTTTCCATCATTCTCTCTATTCATTCCCCACACCCATCTCACCCTCATACACATACATTTACTCTGGAGAAAGAGTTAAAGCTCTTTTAGTGATATAAACGAATGACTGTGCTCAGTCATTCAGTCCCTAATCATTTCATGATGGAATACTATATTGAGCTCTACAATAACGACTATTCTTGAAAAGCATTTGGAAGCTATAGCTGGTGCAGAGTGTGGTGGTGTGGGTAGTTTTGGGGGGGGCCAAGAACACCACTACTCCATGAGCTTCATTGGTTACCAGTCTGCTTCTGGGAGCAATTCAAGGTGTTGGTGATCACTTTTAAAGCCCTTCATGGCATGAGGTTCGGATTAATTGAGGGACCATCTCACCTCACTGGGATTGGCCCATACTACTTGTGCCAGCAGAGGAGACATGCTGTGGGTCCTGTCAGCCCAAATATTCCAGCTGGCAGCCCAAATATTCCAGAGGGCCTTCCCTGCTGTTGCTCCTGCCTTCTGGAACATCTTGCTCCCCAATGTGAGGTTGGCCCCTATCTTTCAGTAAGGGCCTAAAGACGTGGCTTTGCCAACGAAAAAGGAGGCCAGGAGCTCTATTCTCAGCAGCAAAGGCTTTTCCTCAGGGCCTTTGCTGATGAAAACGGAGGCTGGGAGCGACGAGGGGAGACTGGAAGCTTTTCAGCACTGTAATCTTGTGGCTGAAGTCACATGAGATTCAAAGCTCCCAGTTTCAGCACCCAAAGTGTTTGCAAGCTGAGCAGACACTTTCCATCAGCTTGCAAACACTTTTGGCTCCAAAACTGGGAGCTTTTCAGTGCCGTGATCTCGTGCAGCAGAGAGGCTGGAGAGGACACACCTCGCTAGATCGTCACAAGGTAAGTGAGTCTGGCACAGCAGGATGGGGGGGGGAGGAATTGTGGGTAATATGAGGTATCTCAGTGGATCTGAAGAGGCCTTGGGTGGCCTGAAACAGATGGCTTGTTCCATCACTAGGCACCCCCCATGGCCTTCCCCACCCTGAGATATCGTGCACTTAACAACCTGTGCATTCGATTAGCGAATGTGTGGGCGAAAGCAGGGAGTGATGGAATTCAAGGTACACCATTTACTCCTATGAATCCTCAAATTACGAATGGAATGGGCAGGCTCCATTACATTCATAACTCAAGGACTACCTGTAAAGCCCCAAAGTCTGCCTGCACTGCCGCACTCCGCACCATTTGAAGCTTCTGAATGCTCTTCAAGGGTAGCCTTGAAAATAAATATATCTACTTAAGAAGCATTTTTTCACAGGGAGCAGACTACAGTATGGAGTTTCATCAGTAATTAAATCTCCTTCTCTTTCTATAGCTGGGAAAGCCCAGAATATGCTGCCTCATAAAAAAGAAAGCTTCAGTATTTTTAGGAAGTTCAAGAAAAATCCTATCAACTACAGTACACATCAGACTTTAACTCATTAATGGGCAGCTTACCATTTTAGAGTAAAAGCTTTTTTTCCTTTTGCTCAGTAACAGGAAAATGATTCCCAATGATTCCTGAATAGCAGTCACTCTCTCATCTAACTTACTGTCATGTCATTGTCGCATTCCAATTAAATGCTATAAACCAGGGGTGTCAAACTGCCGGCCCATGGGCCGGACACATCACGAGGAAACTGTGCCCATCCCATTGCTGACAATGGAGAAAAAGCTCCAATACATCGCATGATGTCACGTGATGTCGCAAGTTTGACATGTCTGCTATAGACTTTACGAATATACAGAAAATATGAAATATAAGTTTTCTGATGATATTTACCTTCACTAGATATTTCCTTCCAGGGATTTGGTGGATACATGAATGCTGCATTTTGGATCTGATCATTTATGTCTTCATCTTCATTAAATGGAAATGTGCCACTTAAGCTCACGTAGATGATGACACCCACAGACCACATATCCAGCGATCTATTGTAGCCTTTACTTCTAAGTACTTCTGGGGCAAGATAAGCTGGAGTTCCTACTACAGACCTCCTAAAGGACTTTTCCCCAATAATGCGTGCAAAACCAAAATCACACAGTTTTACCTGTAAAACAAATGCTCTTTACTTAAGTTACTATGCACTTAGCTTACAAACCAACTATCATGGCTGATTTATGGAGTGTTTAAAAACATGAAATATGGTCAATATAATTAGCAAAAATTGTAACAGTTTCTTTGTATTAGTATGCTTGATTAAGGCTTCTTTTTTTTTTCAAATTCTATTGGAAGATGAGCACATCAGTCCAGGAAAAATATATCTTCAATACTATAAAGTAACTTTTTCCCAAATCAAACATAGCTAAACTAGCTATAAATAATAATTTTGTCAATCACTAAAAATATTGGAAAGTTTAAGAAAAAAGGTTAAATGTTATTCTAGATTTCCTCTTCCACAACAGACAACTATACAAAGAATACTTATTTTCTTACCCACCTGAGGAAATGGTTCTGCTGATGCTAATAGTACATTTTCAGGCTTTAAATCACAGTGCACTATATTCTTGAAGTGTAAGTTCCTCAAAGCAACAAGTATCTTTAAAAAAAGGAAACAAATATTTTCAAAATCAGTTCTATACCAAAAACCCAACAAACATTACAAGTCCAGTAGATTATTCTTCAGTTCCATATTTGTCTAAAAACAAATGCATTCTTTTGTTGGAATAATTCCAGAATTCTACCATCAATTAAAAAAAAAAAGAATTGAGAAGATGGGTACTAAACCAGCTTCCCAAAGAGATAGCATCATTATTCAACTAGTTACATTTAGCTACTTCCAAATGTAACTAGCTGAATAACTTCTTCATAGTGGCATGACATCTCAATCTCTTACCATTCCTATTAAGTATACAATGAATACAATATTAGGATATTAATCCCCAATTAGGATTACCCATCACATACTTATTTTTCTTTGGAATAAAAGTAACATTGTTTCACACATATTTGTCTAATACAGCCTATGTGCATTTAATATTCAGCAAATGCTGAATAAAGGAAAGACATGCTTTTTAAATCAAGAATAACATTTGCTAAGTATAAGATTGTTATTTATGTAATGTTTTCCTCATATACACCAGAACTATTCTTATATTTACATACAGCCTTTTGAATTAAAGCCCTCTTGATTCAATTTAAAAGATAAACATTTTTAGTCTAAAGCAGGGGTAGGCAACCTTGGCTCTTTTATGACTCATGGACTTCAACTTCCAGAATTCCTGAGCCAGCATGGCTCAGCTTGGAAACCTCTCCCTTTTCCCTCAACATGGCTGGCTCAGGAATTCTGGGAGTTGAAGTCCATGAGTCATAAAAGAGCCAAGGTCGCCTACCCCTGGGCTAAAGCATATAAAGTGATTAAACAACCAACACAAAATATTGAAAACAGCAATGATATGATCGTAAAGTAAAACTTGGCATCGTTTTTTTTAAAAAAAACAGACAGGAGTAATCATATCTTTGAGGCCATTCAACATACGACCATAATTGAGTCCAAAATTTTTGTTGCTAAGTGAGACATTTGTTAACTGAATTTTTCCCTATTTTATGACCTTTTTTCCTGCAGTTGTTAAGTGAATCGCTGCAGTTGTGAAGTTAGTAACACAGTTGTTAAGTGAATCTGGCTTCCCCACTGACTTTGTTTGTCAGAAGATTGCAAAAGGGGATCACATGACCCCCAGACACTGTAGCAGACATAAATGTAAATCAGTTCCCAAGCATCTGAATTTTGTTCACATAACCCTGGGGATGCTGCAATGGTCATAAGTGTGAAAAATGGTCATAGGTCACTTTTTTCAGTGCTGTTGTAACTTCAAATGATCACTCAATGAACTGTTGTTAAGTCGAGGACTACCTGTACACCCATCATAGTTGGGCTTTCCTCAAAGACAGGCCACAATAAGGAAGACTCTCTCACTAGGAAAGCAAATATTCGACTGAAAACAAAAGACCCACCTGAGTGACCATGAACTTGGTGATTCTTTCTGGAAGCCGACTTTTCTCACTGGAAAGAATCATTTCTAACATATCGCCATGAAGTTTTTCCATCACAACAAAAACCCTTTCAGGAGTTTCAAACATACATTCCAGGTTTACAATCCCAGGGTGATGCAAATTCTAAGAAAAAGTACAGTACTGACTCAAAAATTATCAAATAAATAAACTCAGAAAGGATTCATTTTATATATATATATAGTATTCAGACAAAAGAAAACCATGCTATGCTTTACTATGTCAAAAGCACTCGGCAATTCTTTGTAATACTTAGGACAATGGTTCCTTTGATAAGCAGGTCAAAAGGCAATTTACCAGGAATAAAGAAATACACTCCCCAAAAAAGCCACCAAGAAATTACATCTCAACATAGACACTTATTATACACTCACAATTTCTAATTCAAAAAAACACACAGTGATGCAGTTTCACATCATTTTTGTACCTGCAAAATGGCCACTTCGTTGCGGAGCTGGCTTTCTTGTTTTGTAGGGAATCGCATTTTATCAATGACTTTAATTGCCACATCCCTTCCTGTCTTCCTATGTTTACCTGCACAAATACAAAGAGAAAAGAGAAAACAGAAGTCTCTCAGGTAGTCTTGCACAAAGAGGCAGTATCAATGATAACATGTGTTTAATGGATTTAACAGAATAACAATGTTGAAAGGGACCTTGGAGATCTTCTAATCCAACCCCCTTGCTCAAGCAGGAAACCCTATACCAGTTTGGATATAAAGAGGCCCTATAGTAAGATTGCTAGGTGGTGTACTATATGATTAAATACTTGTTTGAACGTGGTTAAAAGAATAGATAAAGCTTGGACATAAAGGGGCCCTATAGTAAGAGGGGTTAGATATATAAGTAGTGCAATACTTTTATCACATATGAAATGTAAAAATATTGAGATGATGTATTTCAATGAAAAGTTTGGATATTCAAAGGCAATGAATTTTGAGAAAATTATGACTGATAAGAATGGTTTCAATACTGAGGGGAAATTACGGTTAAATAAGAATTTTGAAAACAGGACATGTGACTTAATAAGGACTTCTATAAATACAATTGAAACATAAGCTGATTAGAAAAGATGTTATATGCTGATGTTATTGTTATACGTATAAATACTAGAAAAATGTTTATATCCAACTCTGTATGTATTGAAAGTATTAAGAATTGTATTTGTTTAATGTAGACAAAAGGAGAATATTACTGGAAGAAGAGAGGATCAAGGAAATATATTATCAACTAACATATTGATCAACTGTAGAAATTAATTATTATTGTTTTTAAATATATGAACCCATACAACACATTGTTCACTAAGCACTAAAGATTGTTATTGTAAAAAATTAATAAAATATATTTAAAAAAAGAAACTTAACAAATCTCTGGTAAAATTGTATTAAAAATGAATGAAAGACTTGAAATCATTGAACCAAAAAATATTCTTTTGATTCCAAATTTCAGCAGCACTATCCCAGGAATTCAGGAGCAGGAGGTACAAAAATAGAGCTAGACACACCCATGTGGCCTATACAGTGTCCATATAATGTAAAAACTCTTCCTGAACTTTCTGCTTCAGGCAGTTATTTCCATCACAAACTCTTACATATTCAAGTTGAGAAGGAGATATTTAAAATTTTCTCTTCGTCCATTAGAAGCCAAAATTTACACATTTTAGAAGATATGCTGATGTACTATTTTATAAATATGGATATATATCCCATTTAACAAATGTATTTTAGCTGTTAAATGGAAAGGCACTTTATTCATTTTCAAATGTACTTTTCATGTTGGTCTATGTGTAAGGACCCACCCCACTTTGCATCTTAAGAAGACAGAACTCTTGGAATAGTTCTTCCAACAGGAATCCTTTATTAAGAGAAAATGGTTGCAGGCATGCTAGACAGGACTTGGGGTCCAAGCTCTCCCATTCAAGGTTTTAAGGGGTTCCCCAGTAGTCCCACCCAATCAACCCCCCTTCCCAGTGATAGTTTCAAGTATCACAATTCCACCCCGTTTCTTCTTTCTTCCGTCTGGATGGAGACTTCAGATAACTACATGAAAGGCAAATACTCTTCTTTGTTAATGCTAATGTTCTCTGGTGTTAACGCTTTGAGGTTACAATAGGTTACAATAAACACACATTCAGCATTCAGCTCTTTGAAGTCTACTGAAGGAAGTGAGGGCCATAAAGCCCCTTTGTTCTCCCCCTTCTCTCCCTCTTATGGCAGAATCCAAAGAAGGCAGAATTGGGAGTTTCTATATTTGATAATTAAAAATGAAATATGATTGGATTCTGACATCCGGCCCCTCTTAAAAATAAGAGAGATCCACCTGAAAGAAAACACAAGTATAAAATTTAGTTAGGCTTGTTAGGATACTCTGTGTGAAACTTCTTCAATAGCTTTGGGGCTCTGACGTGACGTTTATGGACCCACTCATTTTGTGAGGCAGGGAGGTGTTTCCAGGCAACTAGGTACTGAGTTGTTCCATGATATCTCCTAGAGTCAAGGATCTCTTTTATTTCGAAGTGTTGTTCCCCCTCCACCATGATTGGAGGTGGTGGGGGGGGGGATTTTTGGCCGTAGAGGTGACTGATGCAAGCTGCAATGAAAAACTGGGTGTATTTGCCTGAGGTTTTTGGGTAATTCTAATTCTACTGTTACTGGATTTATGATCCTTTTAATTGGAAAAGGTCCTATATATTTTGGTCCAAGTTTTTTACAGGGCTGTAGGGACTTTAGGTATTTTGTAGATAAGTACACCATTTCTCCTATAATGAATGGTGTAGGCTCAACCCTTTTTTTATCGGCTTGTGCTTTGTATGCCCGCCTAGCTTCATCTAGTGATTTTCTGACTATTGGCCAGGTGTTTTGTAGGTTTTCCATCCATTCTTTCAGTGAAGGGATCGTTGGTTCTTTTGGGGTTAACTCTGGCATAGGGTTGAAACTTTGGCCGTTGGCTATTTGAAAAGGAGTGTAGCCTGTGCTGGAGTGGACTGCATTATTGTAGGCAACTTCTGCAAAAGGAAGTAAGTCCGTCCAATCACTCTGTTGGAAATTTAAAAAACATCTCAAATATTGCTCAAGTACCGACTGGCACCGTTCCGCTTGTCCATCTCCTTGAGGGTGGTGGCTAGATGTCAATCCCTGAGTGGTCCCTAAGAGGGATAAAAATTCCTTCCAAAATGCAGACGTAAATTGCACTCCCCTATCAGAGATGATGCGTTGGGGTGCCCCGTGCAATCTGTAAATGTGCTGGATGAAAAGTTTTGCTAAGGCCTTTGCAGTGGGAATTTTTTGGCAAGGGATAAAGTGCACCTGTTTGGAAAATAGGTCCGTGACTGTCCAGATAACAGTATTCCCATTGCTTTCAGGCAATTCCACTATAAAATCCATGGCTATTTCCCTCCAGGGGGCTGAGGGACTTGCCACTGGTTGTAACAGCCCTGGCGATTTCCCTTGCAACCTCTTTGCTGATGCACAGGTTGGGCAGCTGGCAACATAACTTCTATGTCCTTTTTTATTGATGGCCACCAAAATTGCCGTTTAATTAAGTGTAAAGTTTTTACAAATCCAAAATGCCCTGCTGATTTTGTGTCATGGCAAAGTTGCATGAAAGTTAGTCTTTGAGTTGTTGGTATATATAACTTTTCCCCTACCCAAGGCAATCCGTCTCTCATTGTGCACACATGTTTGTTTTTCTGGAACCAATCATCTGTTTCCAAACTTTTTCTGAATTCAATTCCAGTTTGGCTGTCCAGTTGTGGTTTTAATTTGGCTTGGGTTCTTGTGGTTACTGGTGCTGCCAGTTGTGACTCTGCCATTATTGGTCTAGAGTCTGTGGTTCGTGCGCTGTTATATTGGGGCATGCGAGATAGTGCATCTGCCAGGAAGTTCTTTCTTCCTGGTAAATGTTTGAGCTTAAATTGGAATTGGTGAAAATGCTGGGACCAGCGGGCTTGTTTGGGATTGAGTTTCCTGGAAGTTTTCAGGGCTTCTAAATTTTTGTGATCAGTCCACACCTGGAAGGGGATTTTGTTGCCTTCCAGGAACTGTCGCCACGTGAGTAATGCCCAACGTATCCCATAAGCCTCCTTCTCCCATACGGGCCAGCGCTGTTCTGTTTCCGTGAGTTTCTTGGATGTATATGCACAGGGTTGCAATACTGCATCATCATTTTCTTGTAATAGCACAGCCCCCACTGCCACATCACTTGCATCTGCCTGTATTATGAAGGGCTTGTCCATGTCTGGGTGCCTTAGTACTGGTTCGGCAGAAAAAAGTCTCTTTAGTCTCTCAAACGCTGCTTGGCACTCCATTGTCCATGTTAGTGGCTGGCTAGGTTTTACTGAGGATGTTCCCTTCGTTTTTAGTAAGTTAGTGAGGGGCAAGGCTATCTGTGCAAATGAGGGGATGAATTGGCGGTAAAAATTTGCAAAGCCCAGGAAACTTTGTAGTTGCTTTCTTGTGCGGGGTGGTGCCCATTCTAATACTGCTCTGACCTTCTCTGGGTCCATTTCAATGCCCTGTGGGGATATGCGATAGCCTAGGTAGTCTATCCTTTCCTGGTGGAATTCGCATTTTGAGAGTTTGGCATATAGGTGAGCGGCTCGCAGCTTCTTTAAAACCGCTCTGACAAGTTTGACGTGTTCTTCTTTTGTTTCGGTAAAGATAAGAATGTCGTCCAAGTAAACAAGGACCCCCTTAAACAGGTGCTCCCTTAGAACGTCATTGATTAATTGCATAAAGACTGCAGGGCCCCCTTGTAATCCAAATGGCAAGACTTTGAATTGATAGCACCCCATGGGGCAGTTAAATGCAGTCTTCCATTCGTCCCCTTCCTTGATTCTCACGCGATAGTAAGCTTCCCTTAAGTCTAGTTTAGAAAAAATTTTCCCTTTCGATAGGTGTGACAGCATGTCTTTCATGAGGGGCAGCGGGTATAGGTTGCTTTCACTGATTGTGTTCAGGGCCCTATAATCCACGCATAAACGTAAAGAGCCATCCTTCTTCTCTCTAAAAAGGACCGGGGCAGCCACTTTAGGCTTAGCTGGTTCAATGAAACCTCTCTCCAGGTTTTTTTTTATAAATCTTTCCATTTCCTCCTTCTCCTTTGGGCTCATGGAGTATAATCTGGGTTTCGGGAGTTTTGCCCCAGGCTTGAATTCAATGGTACAGTCTGTGGGTCGGTGGGGGGGAAGCTCATTCGCCCTCTCCTCACTGAAGACTTCAGCAAGGTCCCTATATTCCTCTGGTATTTCTGTTAATCTTTTTTCCTCTCCTATGGATGCTTTTTCTATTCTTGATTCTGGTAGCCTCTCTTGGGGTTTTAAGTCCATAGGGTCCCCCTTCGGGAATTTGATTTCTGTCGTCCTCCAATTTACCCAGGGGTTCCATTTTTTCAACCATTCCATCCCTAGAATCATTGGGCATTCCATACCTGGGGTCACCACAAACGTTAAGTCCTCTTCATGGTTGCCCAGGGAGAGGTGTATTGGCAGAGTGGCTAGGGTAGCTGGCACCCCCCCTGCTATGGATCCATCTAGCTGGCCAAATGAGATTGGTTGTTCCAGTCTCCTGGATGGGATGCCCAGATTCCCCACTAGTGTTGGGCTAATGAGGCAGCGGGTGCAGCCAGAGTCTATTAAGGCTTTCACCTTCACAGCTTCGGGCATGGGGGGGATTAATATAGTCACTGTTTTGAAGATGGGTGTGATGCGTCCACTTACCAGGGGTTCGCCTTCCGAGCTGTCATCTGAGGCATCCACCGTCCCTGTGGTGTAGGCTGGAGTTCTTTCCCCTTGGTGAGCAGAGGTGGGGGTTTCTGCAATTTCCATCATTTTCATGGCTGTTTCTTTTGGCTTAGCTGAATACCCTCTGGGTTTGTTGATTGGGGATCTGTCTGGGTTGTGCTGGGGGGCCTTTGAGCGGCATTCTACAGCTCGATGCCCTTCTCTTCCGCACTTGAAACACCCCATCTGCTTCTTGGCTGTATCCGATGATTTCACCGGTTGGTGTGTCAGCTCAGGCGGGGGGCGGCTCCATTGTTTTCCTCGGCGATGCCTCTTCAATATGTCGATCTCTGCTTCCTCTGCCAAGACGTACCATTCCTCAAGTCGATGTGGGTCTCCTCGGGGCAGGCAAGCATCATATAGATCATAGTTTAGTCCGTCTTTGAAACGGCCAAGGAGGATGTCTTCTGGCCAATTCAGTTTGCTGGCAATGGCTCGGAATTCTTGTGTATACTCAGCCACTGGGCGTTTGCCCTGCCTCATCGTTGTTATTCTTTCACGGGCTTTGCGATCAGCCAGGGGGTCTTCAAATCGTCTTCTCAAAGAGGACATGAAACGGTTGAAGTTACTGAGTTCTGGGGCATTGGAGTCATGCAGGTTCACCACCCAATCTGCAGCTGGTCCATCCAGGGCAGATTGCACGATCCGGATGCGGGCTTTGTCGCTGGGGATGTCCTGCCCATATTCCTCCATGTAGCTGAGGACTTGGGTTAGGAAAAACCCCAAGCGTGTTGGCTCCCCTTTGAATTTCACCTCCAACGGTGGACGTCTTGGAATGGATCGGTGCCTCCATTGTGGGTGGTAGTGTCTTCCGTCCAGATTTCCATCTTGGGTCCGGTAGGGGGTGGGAGCTCCTGGATCAGTAAATGTCCCTGGGGTTGCAGGTTCCACGTCCCCCTCGGTGTCTCTCCCTTTGTGGCTCCAGGAACTGGGGCGGGCGTAGGGCTCAGGAATCTCCTCTCCTAGGGAGCTGAGAGTTCTCTTCATCAGGTCAATAGCTCTCTCTAGGATCCAGTCTGAGTACGGCATACAGCTTCCTCCCTCTTCACTTGCGTGCAGGGATTTCTCCATCTCCTGCTTCCATTCTGGTTGCTTGGTCCCCCGTCTCAGGGTCACTTTTCTTGATTCCTTTCCCCACTCGCTTTTCTTTCCAACGCCCATCGACCAGTGAGGCTTGTGGTCCTGTGTCTCCACCACTTCTTCTTCTGAGAAATCTGGCCTCTCGGATCCCAACGTCTGGCAAGGTTCCAACTGGGTCAGCGGCTCTCTTTCCAGGGAGTTTTCTCCCTCTCTTGCTTCGTTGTCTGACATGGTAAATTTTTGCAAAATCCCCCGGCAAGGGTCTACCTTCCAGGTGGATTAATTTTGCAAGTCCTGTCTAATGTAAGGACCCACCCCACTTTGCATCTTAAGAAGACAGAACTCTTGGAATAGTTCTTCCAACAGGAATCCTTTATTAAGAGAAAATGGTTGCAGGCATGCTAGACAGGACTTGGGGTCCAAGCTCTCCCATTCAAGGTTTTAAGGGGTTCCCCAGTAGTCCCACCCAATCAACCCCCCTTCCCAGTGATAGTTTCAAGTATCACAATTCCACCCCGTTTCTTCTTTCTTCCGTCTGGATGGAGACTTCAGATAACTACATGAAAGGCAAATACTCTTCTTTGTTAATGCTAATGTTCTCTGGTGTTAACGCTTTGAGGTTACAATAGGTTACAATAAACACACATTCAGCATTCAGCTCTTTGAAGTCTACTGAAGGAAGTGAGGGCCATAAAGCCCCTTTGTTCTCCCCCTTCTCTCCCTCTTATGGCAGAATCCAAAGAAGGCAGAATTGGGAGTTTCTATATTTGATAATTAAAAATGAAATATGATTGGATTCTGACACTATGTTTTCAAGAACTGCTTTATATACAATTCTACAGAATATTGGGATCTATGAACAAAGAAAAGCCTGTTATAATGTTATAACACTTAATGATTCTATTTAAAGAGTATACAGAATATTCACATATTCACAATAGGCGCAGAGAATATTAAGCAAAGTGATATCAAGTTGCTTGCACTGCTACTATTTTAGAGTCCTAGACCTCATCTGGAGTTCCTTATTCAGTACTGCTGGATCTATAACAAGCTAGCGCAGGGGTGTCAAACTCGCAATATCACATGACGTGTTGCGATGTATCGTGACTTTTTTTTCCATTGCCGGCAATGGGATGGGTGCAGTTTCAACATGACGCATCCAGCCCGCGGGCTGGTAGTTTGACACCCCTGAGCTAAGGTATACAAGCTATGAAAGACAATTGAAAAAAGAAACAGTAGCTGCCTTAAATATGTTAATGTAGATGAGAGATACTTTTTTCACTCCAGTAAAAGGCAACTATAGAAGACACTGCTAATTACATGGAAATAAAAATCATTAGCAGATATATATTTCTAAGAACAAAAGTAGCACTTCTGATTAGCAGAGCTGCCAAAGAATCAGGTTACTAAATTTATAAAAAAAAAATAAACCTGTCTTATGCAGCAGAAATGAGTTATAATATGGAATTTGCTAAAAAGAAACCATGAAAAGACATCAGGTTAAAGAAACTGTTTTATATCATGTCAGCTCACTGCCCAAATAGTTTGTGAAATATACAGCTGCCTGGTTCAACCTGTGATTCTCAGAAGTGTTAAAACTACACTTCCCAATTTTAGGAAATATTATCTTAATGATCTTAAAAGTTCCAGATTGGAAAAAAAAAATAGCCTAAAGTCACTGGCAGAAGTTCTCCAGCATTTTCCCATCATTTTTTTAGACAGTTGGAATTGAACCTCTATCTCTCCTATATATCACACATCATTAATCTAGCACCATTAGCACATTTTTTCTATAACAGTATATTTCCCTTAATAAGGAGCAAATCTGTTTTATATATAAACCCTACAGACAAAATATTTCACACATGCTATAATATTTATTCACACTTACCTCCGTACACAATTCCAAACTGACCAGAACCAAGGACCTCATCAGCAAAGATCTGATACACTGAACTTATATCCTATGAAAAAGGATATAGACAGAAGAAAGGAAACATTAGGTTCACTCACTTGATAAAATGACTCCATAGCAGAAATTGGAATGTCAACTATATGTCACACAACTAAAAGAGAGAAGAGCTATGACACAGGTTCTGAAGATGAATTATATTAAAAAAAAAAACCTGTTCAAACATGCAAGAACATATTGCTTTTGATATCTGAAGTTTGAACATTTGTATATTTAATCCAATTCATGAAAATTGCACTTGAGGAAATGTACCATTTACAAGATTTCCCATGATATGTTTTTTGTTATTAAAAATGCATAACAGACTTAATCTTTTTTTTAATAAACTGCATGTTAGTTTATTTAAAAAAAGAAAACAAAATTGCTCCTTTACATTTCCAACATCCTTGATTTCTATATAAAATATCCATCAAGGAGCAATTAATACTGAACAATTAGTAGAACATATTTTGTTTATATTTTGTTGACTTACCACATTTTCTTGGATCTGGCAATTTGAAACAGAAATATTGACACATAATTCTTCTGCAATAAAAAAACATATAATTCCTCTTTTAAACAAGGTATTACTCACATGGTGTTCCATAAAGTTTCATGTCTGAATGAAGACCCTAGCAATTAAATGCAAAATTAGCAAGCCATTGCCGGGATACTATTGATAGGACAATAATTAGATCATCTGATGTGTTATGGTAATAATTGCCAATCTAATTTAAAGTATGAATCTTCATATATGAAATATGGGCCTAAGTTTATCTACTGATGAGATAAATTGAAACTATGAAGAAAGAAATGCAAGCAGCATCTTTTCAGGGTAAAGCTTAGATAACAATAATGGTAAATTGTTCCATATTGTGCAAGAGAGCCACTAAACACTTCTTCTGAAAATATAGCTTTTTACTGAATGGCTTAAGAATGTACTTTAAAAAAAACAGGGTAATAAATTGGTTGGTACTTGTGATGTAACTCAAACTACTACATATAAAACAATGCCATTTATTAAGTTTTGCATACTAGGAAAGAAACCCACAATATTAAAGACAGTACTTTTCATTTAGCAGATCATCATGAAGAAAAAGCAAGCCTTTTTGAGTCCTTACTGTGATCTTTTCCTTGTCCTGTAGCAATGCAAGTACTGGTCTCAGGTGTGACTGGCATTAAAGCCTGACGAATAGCTTTCTCCCAGCTCTGGGCTACATCCAATCCAATTCCAGTAGCAGCCAAAACAGGGCTATGGTGACTGCTGCCATTGTTCTCTCCAACGAAGTATACCATTGTGTCGGTTATTATTTCAAAACAGTGAGGATTGCTGCCTTGCACCATATTTGAGAAATCCCGTGGCTGAGTTACCTGAAGAATTTCAGAAAGTGGAATCTCCTGCAGAAAATATAGAATGTTAAAACTCTGACAGGGAGACCCCTTTGTAAGGATATGTAATAGTAAAACTGACAGCACTGTGAAAAGGTAAATATTAATGCTCTCAGCTAAGGACATTTCAGTAGGTACACTTATTCCCATTCCTTATTCATACTTCCAAGGAACCCAAAACATCTCAGTAAGGCAAACCAATTAAGTTATGTCTTGTTAAAAATCTAAATGGTATTTTTTCGTTAGACTAATGTATCCAGTGAATGGCCTTTGGAATTCTCTTATGCAGCCTGGAAAGTTTAATTACCTTTGAAGTTCCCAGCATCAAATGTACCAGTTTGCTTAATGCTGAGCTACTGTACATATTGAAATTACCTTTCACTTTTGAGGTTACACTACACTATAAGATCTTATTTTAATTCCTTAGCAAATTATTTGGTAGCATCTGATCATTACATGTTGTCCTCAACTTACAACAGTTCATTTAGTGACCATTCAAAATTACAACGGCACTGAAAAATGTGATTTACGACTGTGGCAGCATCACCAAGGTCACGTATCAAAGTTCAAATGCTTGGCCACTGATTCATGTTTATGACAGTGTAGTGTGTGCCAGGGTCATGTGATCACCTTTTGTGACCTTCTGACAAGCAAAGTCAATAGGGAAACCATATTCACTTAACAACCGTGTGACTAACTTAACCACTACAGTGATTCATTTAACTGTGGCAAGAAAGATCCTAAGATTCACTTAACAATTGTTTCACTTAGCAACGCAAATGTTGGGCTTAATTGTGGTCATAAGTCAAGGATTATCTGCATTGTAAAACTGTTATATTAAAAATGGAAAGAATCGCTCATCTCCTTTATGAACAACTTCTGATGACAAACGGGACCAGAACTTCTGTTGCTAAGTGATACAATCATTAAGTGAATCATGTCTGATTTTACCAATTTTGCCACAGTTGTTAAGGGAATTACGTGGTCATTAAGTAAATCCTGCTTCCTCCTTTAATTTTGCTTGTTGGAAGCCCCCTGGGGAGGTCACAAATGGCAAATATGTGACAGATGTTGCAACTGTTGTAAATACCTGCTGGTTGCCAAATGCCAAAATTCTGATCATGTGACTGTGGGGATGCTGCAACAGTCATAAGGCTGAGGACTGATCGCAAGTCATCTTTTTCAGTGCCATCGTAACTTCAAACAATCATTAAACAAATGGTCACAAGTCAAGGACTAGCTGTATACTATGGCCTATCTGTGCGTATATGCTTATTTATACATGTTTTATAATACTGCTTTGCAGTTCCCCTTATTCACAGCTATTTATATCACAGGTCAAAACCATCAGTTCCCTTAATAGTCATATCTTTAACCCCCCCACACACAACTTAACTCCTGATGTAAATATTCTTTTTCCCCACAAAATACAGGTAGTCCTCGACATACGACCACAATTGAACCCAAAATTTCTGTTCTTAAGCGAGACATTTGCTAAGTGAGTTTTGCCCAATTTTACAACCTTTCTTGCCACAATTATTAAGTGAATCGCTGCAGTTGTTAAGTTAGTAAAATGGTTGTTGAGCGAATCTTGTTTGTCGCAGGGTTGCAAAAGGTAATCACATAACCCTGTGACACCACAACCGTTAACTGTCATAAATATGAATCAGTAGCCAAGCGTTTGAATTTTGATACGTGGCCACAGGAATTCTGCAAAGGCCGTAAGTGTGAAAAATGGTCATAAGTCATAAGTCACTTTTTTCAGTGCCATTGTAAATTTGAATGGTCACTAAACAGACTGTTGCAACTCAAGGACTATCTGTATTTCACACTTCTCATTTCTTTCTATTAGATTATAACTATATAAATTATAATATGTAATGCACAATCAAAACAGAAAATAGTTCACCAGAGATAAACATTAAAACTGCATCTTGTTATAAATACGTCTATGACATATTAACAATTTTAAATTGTACGTCATTTAGCAAAAAGCAATTAAAATGAAATGATAATAGGCAAATAGCATTTTAAAGAGGAGATGAGATTTGGGTAATCTCTTACCTTGTAATATTTTGTCCCAGATTCATTTTGAAATAGCGTAAGACATTTACTGTCTAATCTCCAGTAATGCCTTTTTCTCTGCAACAAAGTACAGTTACTGTTTTAAGAAACAATTTTTCATTTCATTTGTATAGCTGCCTATCTTAAAATCAAACTCTTACCAGCTAAATATATACTATATGTACATTTATATATGTAGCATATAAGATACTATTTATTTGAATCAATTTCAAAGGTTTCAACAGTCCCGCCTGTGTTTGGATTACATCTGCATTACAACATTCCTAAATTAAACATTCCTGAACTGCCGCAGAAAATAGTTATTAAATGACCACAGAATCTGTATTGGCTATGCCATTTTCTGGCACAAGGAGCTAAACCCAATTCATAATCCAAGGCAACAGCATTAGGTATCTGCACCATGGTCACAATGCTTTACAAAAGTCTTTATGTGATACAAGAAAGCCATTACATGCCTCAAAATTATTATTTATTTAGCATATGGCGATGTTACTTTAGCCAGGAGACTACAATGCTAATATAGAGGAGTTATTTGGCTGCCTAAGACTGTCTGTTCCATTCACACTTGCAAGATTTCCAAGATGCACCACAGGAGGTGAATTAATTTCACACCAGAAAGAAAAACTAACAGCATCCTGAAGCATCATCTGGAGCCTTCTCCCTCCGCCAAAGTCACCTGCCAAACAGGCGTTGCATCCAGAAAAATTCAGCACCAACAGGGTTCTGACGATCTGCACAAAGCACTGGCTCATCTTTCCACTGAAGTGGTACTTATTTATCTACTTGCATATAACATGCTTTCAGAGTGCTAGATGGGCAGAACCTCAGGCAAATGATGGGAGCCCTCCCCACAACGCAGTGCTAGGACTCGAACCGCCAGAGCAAAGATCATCTCCAACGTCATTAAGCCACTGAACCACTGTACCTCAAGAGATGCTTAGATACAAAACTTTTTGGTCTCATCATATTGTCTTATTCACAGAATTTGATGGGGAGATCTAAATTAGTCTCCACCTGTAATTCTGTTTTTTTTCCATCTTGTCTTTCAGTTTTTATCTTTCTGCAGGAAAGCAGCTAATGGTTTCATCTCTTGAATGGAATACAAAATGTCCTGCGCTCGGAAATACAAAGTTTTTCACCAAGAACACAGCTTAATTACTTACCAGATTGTCTCGACTTGTGTAGTGAACCATCCATCCTTCTTTTACCATTGTACTGCTCTTCCTCTTTGTGTGTTTGACCGACTGTACAACTCTCATTAATGGAATGTTATTGCTTGTGGATGGGCTGTTGAACAATAATAAATTGCACAATCATGTATCATCCCAGCGATGCAGCAGACAGCACTGATGCCTAAATTATTTTCTTATAGTCTGCTATATAGCATGTTGGGCTGGAAGCATCTCTCTGATAATTAATTGGAACTACTTCATCAGCCATTTGCTGGGAATGAGTGTACAAGCAATCTCTTTGGCTACCTTGTGCAATCTGGACAAGCTTGTCCATGACCTGAAGACCTTTTTCTATTTCCAGTTTTGGGCATCTTTGCATTATATGATCAAAACAGTTAAAATATCTTGCTAGGATAAAAATAGCTGTTATGTACCATTTTTGTTCCCAAAATGGGATATAAACTAGATTCCAAATATTTCTAGTCAAATTAAAGAATTTACACTAAATCAAAAAATACAGTAAGTAGACAGAACTCCTGTATAAATGAAAATAATTCTCTTGCATTCAACTTTCCTTTGCATGGTGAAACAAGCACTATAAAGGTCTATTGTACATGAGACCCAGAGGTCACCTTCCATTTCTACATTCACAGCAGGAGAGCATTCTGTTACGTTTGTTCAAGCCAAGCCCTACTTATACGTAGAGAGGATTTAAAACACACCACAGATAAAAGGAACTTTTGTTTTAGATGAAGAGATAGTACTTCTGCAAATGTTACAGTATAAACTTACAAACTTTGTCTTCATAATGTCATTCTGAAAAATCAGTTTTCATTATTACGACTGTATAATTTGGAATAAATTCCAAGTTATTCATTTTATATGGCCATGTAATGAATTAAAAATGAGCAATTTATCCAAGTAGTTTTGTACCATGAACTACACTTGTACCTCTACCTTTTCAATAATAATTTTAGAGCATATTAGTTGCATTACAACTTGTACACACATATAAAGTACAAATAGCTTATTTTTCGATTTGCATCTATGCTCCTTTAACCTGACTAAAAAAGACATACATTCATTGTAAAAACTGATTCCTTGCTTACATTTTCTTCCAAATTAATTTACTTGCATTAGGAATGAGTTTGAACTGGAATCAGCATAATAAAATGGTCACATAAATCCAAATCACATTTTCCATGACTTACCCTGTAAAACAAATTATTTTTCATGTTGCCTCTTATATTTCCATGTTACTTCTCTTAATGAACCATTTTTAAAGCCACTACTAGTCAAAAACCATCTAAACAAAAGTATAAATTGCACAATATATTGTCTTTAATATTAGACATAGAAAGATGGAAGCAGTGGATGATGTGTAAGGGTGTATTATATATGTATCCCAAGTGCAATATCTTTATTTAACCAACCTGATAGTTTTTACAGCCTCTTCATCTTTGTCTCCATCAAGATCTGCTGGATCCATAAAAAACATTTTGTCTTCTGGAGGAGATGGTTCTTCCACATCATCCAATCCTTTCCCAACATCACTATTCATTTCACTGCTATCAACCTCCATTGGCATATCAGTATCTTGGCCTGGGCTAGCTGGTTCTTCTTCCCAAAACAATAAAATATTTTTAATTTCATAATTTTACAATTCAATATATGCAAAATATCATATTAAGAAATATATCACATTAAAAGAATCTGAATGAAGTATCTATCCCTATGTACTAGGTTTCTGGAAAAATCCCTAAAACCCAGCCAAGAAACGGAACAAGCAGAAACTTTGGGGCAAAACTTTGTTTTGCAACAACTACCTCATGCGTGTAGGTATTTCGAGAAACAGGGCAATTCTCCATTAGTGGAAAGTTGGCATAAGTATAGTTTCCATCACTTGTGCCAGGTGACTTTCACTCGGCTGATGCAACACCATGACCAGACCTTTCCAGGAAAGGGTGTGGACAGGATGACAATCTGAGAACAGAACTCCCTCTATACCTGGTTCAATGCCCATGCAAATTAAATCTGGTTTCCTGTAGCCTCAAACACAGCAGGTAACCCAAGGATAAGCAGTCCTCACTTTCCACACTATATGAATATACACACACGCATAAACAATTCTATCTTTAGAGAGCCACAGATATCAAGCTACATAAAATAAATTTGATAACAATGCTTTAATCTGCTTCAGAAAAAGGCTATCTACATGTAAACTATAATTTGGCAAATAGAGATGACATAGAGAGTATTCTATACAAATGTTTACTTTGAAATTAAGTTTGGGAAGCCAATTCTGTAATCATGCAAAGAATAGTCATGATTAATAAGACAAAAGAATTAGCATGTTGCCAGTCAGAATTTTATCTTTTTGGTTTTGTTGTTGTTGTTAATAGAAGAATGTTTGCTACTCAGATCTTCAGAACAATGTAGAGCATACATGTATACAGCATATGTAAAATATATTTGACATTTTATGTAAGATACAGATTTAAAATGTTACATAAGACAAAAAGTAATTAGAGGTAGTCCTGGAGATATGACCATGATGGAACCTGCCTGTTAGGGGTGCATGTTGCAAAGGCCTTGCTTAATGACCCCACCCCTTGCTCTCCCTGATAAAACTGTTAAACAAACCAAAGGTTATTAAACGGAGCATAGGTTATCTCAGAGATGGTGGAGGCCCCAGGAGGCCTACATAGGCCCAAGATTGCCTGGCTGGGCCTTCCAAGGCTACCCACACCCTCTGAGGCATCCTGTGCTCTGTTTCTCACTCTTCAGGGTCCCCATAATCCTTCAGCTTCTTTCTCACCCAGCAAGTAAGGGGAGATCAGGCAGGTCAGAGTTTGCAGTCTTCAGCAATCGCTTTCTTACAGACCCAGCCTTATGGTACCCTTGTGCTATTTTGCAACAGGCTCTGTTTTTGTGACACTGTAGAGACTTTTTTTAAAGAAGGTTCCATTTGTTTGTGGAGTTTATGGAGCTTCCTTAAAAAAGGGAATCCTGTATACGTTTATGAAAATAACACCTGCTTTGCCACAAGGCTAGGTTTGTAAGAAAGCAGATCCCGTATCAGGCTGGGCGCCTCTCTCAGAAACTGCAGAAAAACAGAAAGCTAAGTTGAGTGTTGCTGGGCTCTGGAGCAATCTGAATCCTGCAAGCTTTTGGATAGGAAAGAAATTGGAAGCTTGTAAACTACGGCTAGCCTGATCTCCCCTTGCTTGCTGGAGTTTGTAAATTCCAGATGGCCTGATCTCCTCATGTTTGCTGGGTAAAGAGGCAGCTGGAAATTTGCAAGCTCCAGCTGATTCATGCCCACTAGAATTGGCCTGATCTCCCTTGGATGGACAGACTCAATGAGATGGGATGGGTGGATGGGTGAGCATTGCAGCATCCCTGTAGACAGTCATAATGGCGAAAGACCATGTGGGTTCTTCAGCTGCTGTAACTTTGAAACTGGGCCATGAGTAACTTTTTGGGAACATGTCATAATAATGTTGAACAGTTGCTAAGTGACTGGTCATAATTTGAGGACTACTTGTAGTGAGTATTCCTCTTTACGGCAATTTAAAAGTATTCATCCTAATAACTCTTGTTAAAATTTGAGACATTGCTGAAAGTAATATTTTGCACCCAACGCTGTTTTCCTTCTAGTAGTTCAGGTAGTCCTCGACTTACAGCCAGTCACTTAATGACCGTTCAAACTTGAAACAGACCTCTCAAAAGTTACTCACAACCCACATTTGAAATTATGGTCACTGTAATGTCCCTGCTAGGATGCAGGAGGTGGAACAGCCTGCTCTCCTTCCCCAATGTGAGGTCTGGGACTCCAGATATCTATTGTACAGAAGATAAATGTGGGATCAGAGATGAGGAGCAGGATGGAGATGAAGATATGGGACCTAGTGGGATGGGAAGCCAAATCAGGAAGTGGAGCATAGGGTGCTTCAGAAGATGTGGGGGAGCCTTGGGAGGCCCGTGACAGGAGCACCTGGGCCAGCACTAGGTCTCCCAGAGCCTCACCCACACTGGGGAGATTAGGGATAGGGGTCATTAAGTGAGGCAATCATGTGGGCTTCTCATTTAATGACATTTTGCGACCATAATGAGCAGGCTCCATTGTGGTTATAATTCAAGAACTCCCTGTATGTATACATTTTTCACTCTGCTAGTCTAGGCAGTCTAGAGGTATTTGATAGCAATTCTGGTATATGCAGAATAGGGAGAAGTGCAAAGAAAAGCCAAACATGTATACCATAACCCAAAGTTATGTTTCCCGCAATACTTTACAAGACATATCTTACCTCCATTGAAGACTACTTCTCCAAGACAATCTTTAGGTACTTTAGAGGCACAGCGTTTATGACAATTAAATCTGCAATCTAAATTAAGGATAAATTATATTTATTTAGGCATTTATTATTTTTGTATAATCTCTTTGAAGTTTCTTTTTGAACTCACTTTTATTTATTTTCAGGACGTATTTTTAAAGTAATAAGCAAATGCAAGTAATTATTTGGATCAAAGCTACAATTTAACATAAAGCTGTATGATACGGTACTACCATCGCAAGGTTCTTCAATTAGGTCATTCTAATTGAATGAGAATGGTGAGAGCTGGAGCACTCCCAAGAAGATACCTTAAAACTAAGATTCAGCACAGAAGTAGAATTATCAATATCTAAACTGCAGTTAAGAAAGTGAGTTGTGAATTCTCAATCTACCTGTTTCCTTGTCAGCATCAGATATGGTGCTAAATATATTTTACAATGGCATTATGCATATTTAGGTTTTAACTAGGATTTGAAATCATAAACTTTTTTAGTCCTTGTGGAAACACTAATATTCTTTTATGAACATTTTGACTTTAGGCAAACAGGGCAGAAAGAAAAAAATAGAGAATAAATAACACTATCTTATACTGGTTTAATCTTGAATCCAATAAGTTTAAAATGTAACTTTGCACAGCCTAAAAAGTCACCAGGTAATACTAACCAATAAGGAATTTCTTGCAGGCAAATGATTCAACTCAGAAGAGAAGAATAGAGGTATTCTATTCATCAACTGTATCCAGTATATTCAAACAGCAAATTGTTAATAGGAATAGAGTCTTTCATAACATTTCTGTCATCTTATTTATATAGCTTACTGATCGCATACCATTGTAACCTGCTTATTTAGCTTTCATTTTATAGTTAAAAAGACTTTAAAGCCTTGATCATTGACATTAACTTTCAGCTACAAAAACACTTGCCTTTACATTGCATTCCTTGTCGAAAAAGACCTTTAAGCAATCGCTTGCAGTACTGACATATGGTGGGTCGACCATAAGAATGAACAGCAAAGGTATGTGGGACTTTCACACGACAAAGAACCATTTTTTCCATCCATATTGGACGCCCACTCCACGAAGGAATCCTTTTACTAGGTTCTGGATGACAACGCTGCAAAAACAACAACAACAACAACTTCAAGGCGCCTTGAGCATGAATAACCCTGGACCAATCACCCTCTCTCATCCCAACCCATTTCACAGGGTTGTCGTGAGGAAAACAGGAGCAGGAAGGTGTGTGTTGAATATGTTTACCACCTTGAGATATTTGTATAAAGGCAAAATAAAATAAATAAAAGCAAATTCATGAATAAAGAGAAGTAATTCAGTAATATCATACTTTTCGCTGTAGAGTCCAACCATTCCTAACTCTAACATATTTTCCAAACTTCCTTCCACAGCAATAGACCAAGAAATTAGAGCAAAATCTAATCTAACACAGGTAGTCTTCAGCTTACAACCACAATTGGGACAAGAACTCTAAGTAATGTGATGGTTAAGTGATCTATGCCCAATTTTATAATCATTTTGTTGCAGTCAAATTCAGTGTCTCCTATTTACTTTGCTTGTCAGAACATGGCTGGGAAGATTGCAAATGGCACTCAGGTGAACCAGGGAAACTGTTTTATCCATCAGAAATACATGCCAATTGCCAAGCACCCAAATTTTGATCACTAACCACAAGGATATTGTGATAATTTTAAGTGCAACTACCAATCAAAATTCAATTTTTTTCAACTTCATCATAACTTTGAACGGTTGTTAAACGATTGGTTATAAATTGAAAACTAACTGTAGAACTACAACACTGTTTCTACTTATGGCTGGAAACGTTGAAAATCTTAATATGAACTGACAAAAGGAACTTTCAATATTTGTCAGCACTTGTCAGACAACCATTTCTGCCTCTGTTAAATGCTTCCATGATTACTTTAACTGAACTTATGCCCATATTTAAGCAGTACCAACAGGCATTAGCTAATATCCATTCCATTGCTATCAGGTAATTCTTAATTCCTTACAACAGTAGTGGCAAACCTTTTTGAGACTGAATGCCCAAACCGCAACCCAAAACCCATTTATTTATCGCTAGGTGTCAGGTGGGCGTGGCCGACTGGGTGCGTGTGGCCTCGGTGGTCACAGCCGACTGGGTGGGCGTGGCCACGGTGGGTGTAGCCACCTCGATGTTTGTGGAGAGGGATGCTTGTGGGGGCCGGGCCGGGTTGGAGGAGATCCAGGGGGTCTATGGCGGGTGGGGCGGTGGACCAGAGGCTCGTCCTGTGGGGTGAGGCGAGGCGAAGCAGGCGGGTGTGCCAATTGCCGTGGGGCAAGGCAAGGCAAAGCAGGGGCTGGAGCAGCTGCTGCCTGATACCATCAGCCCCCACACACAGAGACCAGCGAGTACATGGGGGCTGCCAGTGTCCATCAGCAGCCACAGCCTCCTGCATCATGGCAGCTCCATCAGTGTGAACGGAGACAGCCTCAGGGTGGCCAGGAAGGAGCCCTCACCTGGTGCGGGTCCTATCTACAGGGTGGCTCTGACAGGGGCAGCAACTGCTGCTCTGAGCCCCTTGACTGGTCAACCACATAGAGAAGTAGGAGGCGGTGGCAGTGATCCCAGCATCACCAAGCCCGGCCGGCCGCAGATCTGGAAGCAAAGCTGTGCCAACCATCCTCGTGCTGGTGGGGGCAGTGGCGGGGGAAGGTGAGCTGTGGCACACGCTCTCCCCTCCCCACTCCGCCCGGAGATGTACGCGGGACAATGTGCGGCGGCAGTGGCAAAGGGTGCCCGCATGCCAGATCCTGCCTTCCCCTGCCGCCGCCACCAGCACGAGGATGGTCGGCACAGCTTTGCTTTCGGATCTGCTGCCTGACACTATCGGCCCCCACACACAGAGGCCAGCGAGTGCATGGGGGACGACGGTGTCCGTCAGCAGCCACAGCATGCTGGCTGTCCTGCATAATGGTGGACTGGCCACAGAGCCCCATCGGCGCGGGCGGAAATTGCTCCGGGATAGCCGGAAGGAAGTCTTTGCCCGGCCTGGGTGCATCCACTCGACGGATCTGATGGGGGTGGCTTCTGCTGCTGCTCTGACCAGTCAGCCATGAAGGGAAGCAGGAGGAGGTGGAGGGGCAGTCAAGGGTCTGGAGCCACCTCGGCTGCTCACTAGCAGCCTGACAAGGCAGCAGATTCACGCATCAGCTGCCCCTTCTGCTTCCCTGCATGGCTGACCAGTCAGAGCAGCAGCAGAAGCCACCCCCATCAGATCCGTCAATTTCCGCCCAGGCCGATGGGGCTCTGTGACTAGTCTGCAATTATGCAGGACAGCCAGCATGCTGTGGCTGCTGATGGACACCATCGGCCCCCATGCGCTCACTGGCCTCTGTGTGGGGGGGCTGATAGTGTTAGGCAGAAGATCCAGAAGCAAAGCTGCGCCCACCATCTTTGCGCTGGCGGCAGCGGCGGGGAAAGGCAGGATCTGGCATGCAGGCACCCTTTGCCGCTGCTGCCGCATTGTCCCACATGCGCCTCTGGGCAGGGCGGGGAGGGGAGGGCTTGTGCCACAGCTCACCTTCCCCCACCACTGCCACCACCAGCGCGAGGATGGTCGGCACAGCTTTGTTTCCAGATCTGTGGCCGGCCGGGCTTGGCAATGCAGGGATCACCGCCGCCGCCCCCCCCCATCAGAGCCACCCTGTAAACAGGACTCGCACCAGTGAGGGGTCCTTCCCAACCGTCCTGGGGCTGTCTCCGCTCACGCCGATGGGGCTGCACTGTGGAAGGGAGATGGCAGCTCTGATTTCACTCACTCTCCCACCAAAACTGCTCCTTTTATACGTTCCATCACCCCGCCCAGCTCTTGCAGCTGTTCCCAGACTGTGCATGCATGGAGAGGGGGAGGGAGAGGAGCCCAGCAATGCCGTGCGTGCCCACAGGGACGGCTCTGCGTCCGCCTGTAGCACGCATGCCATAGGTTCGCCACCACTGCCTTACAACTTAAAAGAAGTTACATCATTTAATTTTGATGGAGTTTCATGAAAGATTAAGAGCAAAAAAAAATGTTTATTTGAACACAGCCATGGGCATCCACACCATTTTTCTAAGGAAAAACAATCATATCCCAGTTGCTGAAGCACTGGTTTGTTTGAAGACAACATTAATTTTCCAAATAATTATGAATTTCAAGCTTTAATGTCTGTACACTGCAAATGATATTTTTGCATTTACAATAACTAGTTGTTTTACATACAATAAATGGAGGAAATTTCTGGGATAGTAATTGGAGAACACCATTTTCGTGAAATTCAAATACATTTAATATACGCATAAGTTGCATAAAGAAATTATAACAAGCACAAATTTTGTTTTACTGTCAATTTAATTGTCATTAAAGCTTTGCTTCTTGGTGAAGCTTTCTGAGAATTATTTAACTAAGAAGTTCTGCAGCTAGGAAAAAGTCTGAAAACTTCTGATTCAGAAGTTCTTAATGCAGTTTTGGAAATATTGTAGTGGTTTTGGTGTAATTTTAATACCTATATAAATGTTTAATATCTGCATTTCTGGCAAGAAGAAACTATTTCAAAAATATAATGAACATACATTTATTGTTTTTATATATCAGTTTTGATAGGCACTAAAAAGTGAAGTAAATGTCCAATAAACCAAAATATGTTGATTTACATACATATACATTCACTTAAAAGCAAAATTCTGGATTTTAAGAAAAGTTAGAAGATTATTTGAAGTGACCATTCTCAGCTAAGATTAAGTCTGAATAATACATCTTAAAGTTTCTTATGATTAAGGAGTAAGGAATTGGGATAATGTGCTTTGGGTAATAACAGTGTCTTACCAAATTGATTTTAACTCTTCTTTAATTCTTCTTTGAAAAGAAAAATAAATAAATACCTCTTCTATGGACGTAGAATCAGTTTGTACAGATCTTGGGACAGAAAGTGCAGCTCCTGGTAAAGACACATTAGATAGCCGTCTCTTTCTTACCCCACTGCAGTTATTTGGAATTTTAAAAGCACATCGCTTGTGATAATTTAATCCACACCCTAATGAAATTAATACAGGGAGGGGGAGTAAAAGAGAAAATAAACATACTTTTACTGATGATGCTACACATTTTAACAATATTAGGATTCTATTTGATGAAAGACAGATTAAGCAAAATATGTGGCAAAGATAACACATTTTTTAAAAACTGAACCAACACCTCTAACATTGCCATGATCATTTAATTAACAGCAGATCTCTGCAATGCATGGAATGTTTTTGGCCTGAATATTTGCTTTTCTGACCCCACTTCACCCTGGCTAAAGCTGGAAAACAGTCCTTGTTATGCAATTCACGCTGCTGCTGATTTTCCTCATCTTTTTCCCCAACAGATTATCTAAATACTGTATTCCTGAATCTGTTAGAACCATCAGATTAGGGTACAAGCCAATGAATAGGGCTTGGGTTATTAATGCCCCTATGCACTAATACATCAAAGGAGGTGCTTCAGAATTATCAAGGGAGGTACACTCTGTATGCACAGTTGAAAGGAGTGCATACAAAACACTTCTTTTCAAATAATTAAAGCAGCTGAACTTTTTTCAGACTTCAACAGCTGCTTTCAAAAGCTGTTCCCAACTGTCCCTACTAATAATTTACCCTGCACTCATTATTAACTTGATTACGATTAGGAAATATGCATGTGGAAAGGGTTTTTCTTTCTAGATAAGTTATAAATATGTTGAAGTACAGAAAGAAAACAGAAAATGTTTACACTGATATATCCTCCCACACTGCATCATCTCATTATTTCTGATATTGCACCAGCACGGCCGTCGCACTAGACCTTCTACAAGGAACTCAAAAGTTTATATAGCATCATTTCTTCCCATAAACCAAACATAATTCTTCTTGCTAGATAAGAAATCCATCCTGTAGGAAAAGAACTATTAATTTATAAATTCTTAGATCACAGCATGCAAATGAAGTGCTTTTCAAAAATCTCTGAAACTATATACTGCATTTGGGGATTTAGGACAGAAACATTGTTAATAACACTCATTGTTATTAATTGGCTTACCTTCACATTTCAGTCCTTGCCGTACCAAGCCCCAAAGCATCTCTCCACAATAGTCACAAAAAGTAGGGGCCTTATAGGAATGAACGTAAAGCATGTGAGGTCGAATCTGGAAATCCTCAACTGTAGCTAATGCTTTAAAAATACATATATAAAAAAGAATAAGTTTTAATGCTTTCCTCCATATTAAAGTACTAACAAGATTCCAATATAGTGAATATAATGCCTTAAATGCTATAAGACTATGAAACAAATATCTTTACATAAAATTTTAAAATACCATTTTCAATATAGATTTGACTATGACATTTTATACTATTTAAAATATAATCACCCACAGTAAAAACCTACTGATTCCATGAGATTAGCTCACTATAGTAAATAATCAGGATGAATCAATTTCCTATTTAAAAAAAATGAATTTCCATGCTTCCATCTTTAATATCCAATTTTATAAAGTACTTCATCAACTTTGCAGTAGGTGTGTATTTAAAATTATGCATATTACAATTTATTAATTACAATTATTCCCAGTAATGTTAGTATTTTGGTATAATCAATATGAGGATTGCACTGAAAACAGATATTCTTACCAGACAGAACAACCTCAACAAGATCACCTTCCCTTATCTCTTCTGCTGACGTAATGCGCTGTAAAATATTTTCTGAGTTCAGATCATGGCGAAATAGGAGAATTTTATCATACATGCCAAAAAACCCACACTCTGGGAACTGCAACAACAAAAAAGCAAAAATCTATATTGAAATATGCCATAATTTACTATGCCATAATTTACTATTTCAACATAAAACTGTTAAAGATGTTGTCTAACATAATGACAGAAAACAAGACTGTAAGCATTTGTTGTTGAAAAAAAGATACATTCTGAAGTCATATTATAAGCTTCAACAAAAACTGCCTGCTAACATTACAAGTTTCTAACTGTATCATTGTGGCACTACAAAAATTACAATTTGCGTATTTATTTATTAAAAAATCAATTTAAAGATAATGGGCTTTTCCACTTGATAGATTTGAAGTGAACAAATTCCAAACTTTGTTGATGTTGTATGCAATAAAACGACTAAAATATGGGCTTCCGGTTTGACATCGTGGCATAATGACGCAGGAAGATGGGGCTCCATCTTCCATGTTCAATTTCACCCCACTAGGGACCCTAAAAAGGGTTGAGTTGCCCTGAAGAGGCGATGAAAAAGGAGGAGACCCTCATTGATTGTGACGGGGCAGCGGCCTTTCCACTGGATCTGAGGGAGCCCTCCAAACCAGTGGGGGAAAGACTGGCTACATTCATGTGGCCAGTCATAAGCTGCTGACAATCGAAGACAAGCACTAACTAGCAATTTCTGAGCAACGTGGATGGAACTGGGTGAGACTTTATCCTCTTTTTATGGCCCTAACATTACTTTCCTGGAAAAAAGAATGCCCAAAGAAAAGAATCCTCCCCGATGAGAGAGGGAAGTTATTGCCCTGCTCCCTCAGGAAAAGAAAAATGGCGAATTAATTGCTCTGGGGGAAAAACAAAGGAAACTGCAAGATCAATTTGGAACTAATACAGATCTATAGCTTTGAAATTTGTGGACTAAAAATACCTTTGAGACTTTTTAAAAAAAATATTTGAAAGTTTGCAAAATAAGCTTGGATTTGGAAAGCTGGAAGATGGTGTCAATGACATCTAGTGGAGAATTATGGCATTTCAATTTATTATGCTTAAGGAAAACTTGGGCTTGAAGCCCAGACTCAGATAAGATTCTTTGTTGTTCCTGGACACTTTCACTTTTGCTAGACTGTAGCTAGGAAAAAGGAAAAACAAAAACTCTTGAACTGCTTATTTGGATTGGGGACCCTATTGAACTATAAAGACTACATACAAAAACAAAATGAGTGCTCCATACTTAAATGGTAAAAAATTATCTTCAACACCTGTCTCCAAAACTCCCAGCTTGATATATCAACAAGAAGATGTTAATGAATCTCAGAAAGAAATTCTTTCCATGTTGAAATCAATCCAAGAGACAATTGTTTTATTTCAGGATGAGACTAAAAATAACGCAAATGAGATAAAAGTACAATTTTCTAACCTAACTTACAAATCCAGACAATGACTGCAAAGAAGAAACTAATAACCCAGAAAACAGAAGGAAAATTAGAAGAAATGGATCCAAAGATGCAGTGATAACACAGGAAATGGAAAAGACATCGCACTTGTCAAGATCTCAAAACACATTTGAGGATAAGGAAGAAGAGCTGATTGAATGGATGATAAAGCTGTTAGGAGAAATGCTGAATACTGACGAACAAGAAATGAAAAGAAAAACTGAAGAAGGATGGAGGCTGTTTAATGAATATAAATGGGTTGGGCGTTCTTCCAAAAACACTTCAACTAAGTTCTTTTCCTCATTCCAAATAATATATACAAAAACAGAGGAAGAACTACTTGATGATTTAAATGTACTGACTTGGAAAGTTATTTGGCAAAGGAAGAAAGCTACAGTAAGACTGAATAAAATTGAGGTTCTGACCTATTAGATGGGATATTATACTACTAAACAGATGTTAGAAATAAAAGTATTATAATTAGAAGGATTATAGGATTTATAACTAGAATATTATACTTTGTTATGAGATGGGAAATATGAAAATTCTAAAAGGATTTGAATAAGGGAAGCTTTTGGTTACCCAAATATACTTTATTATGAGAAAATTATAAGCAATAGAGATATTTTTAACACTGATGAGAAATTAAAATTTTTAAAAAGCAGAAAAAATAGGATTTTGATTGAATAAATGGATTTTAAGTGCAAATGCAATTGAGATATATTTTGGCTAGAAAAGATATTATAAATTGATACTATCAATATTATGTATAATATCAGAAAAATGTGATGAAGATATCTATGTTTAATTGTACATGTATTAACAGTAACAAGAATTGTATTTGCCCAGTATGGAAAAATGCATACTACCGGAAGAAGAGAGGACCAAGGAAGCACTGGATGGTATAGTATCGGACTAGACTGGTAAGTTAATATGTACCACTGAATTACTAATAGACCCAGACAACACGTTGCTTATTAAGTACTTATGACTGTAAAATTAGAAAATAAAATATTTATTTTAAAAAACTACTAAAATATACACATTCCACTTCAATAAGACCAATTAATCTTGACACATGCATACAATTTATTGTTAAACAAAAGAATTAAAGACCTAAACAAAAATATTGTATTGATGTTATCACAATTAAATCAAATATATATATACTCAGTTAAACAAACATTAAGTACAGTTTAATCTCTTATGAACTAGCCCATTCTAACATTTTATTTTTGTATTTATATTGAGAATCAAGAAGGGCTAATCCTTCCTGGATTACAGAAGAAACACATCCTGAGAGTTGTCTGATCTTTCTTGTAAATGTAATTTGCTAAACTACAGGTTATTTTTGCTTCATTTCTTCCAGTTTTTTAGTGGATATAATGAATCTTATACCTTACCATAAGTAACTAAAAATGGAAAAATAAATTTTCAAATGCTGGACAAAAGGTACTGGATGGTGTATGACAGGGGTGTCAAACTCAATTTCATTGAGGGCCGCATCAGCATTGCGGTTGCCCTCGGGGGGGTGGAGGTGGGGTGGCCAGGGTGTGTGCGGCCTACTGGGTGGGCATGGATGGAGTGGGTGTGGCCTATCGGGTGGGCATGGCCAGCTCTACATCATTTGCATCAAGGGGGCGTGTGGGGGCCTGGGCAGGAGTGGGACAGATCTGAGGGTCTTTGGCAGAAGGGGGTGGGACTGGGGCAAGTGCCAAGGCATGGTCCATTTCTTCATTCCTCCCAAAGGGTGACATCTCCCTGGCATGCACCCAGGGGGCGAGGCCGACATGGCAGGGGCTGGTTCCTCCCTGTTTCTAGACAGCCTTGTGGAGCTAAGACTGAATGCGTTTCAGCATAAATGGCCACAAAATTATACATTGGCTCCTGGCCAGCCTGGGCCAGGCCAAGGCAGCAGGGGCTGCTTCCTCACTGTTTCCAGGATGGCTTCGCGGGCCACATCCGGCCCCCGGACCTTGTGTTTGACATGTCTGGTGTATGATCTGTTGTGATAAATGAATGTTCAGAGAAATGAAAATGGTTATGCATGCTTCTACCTAGTTATAGAGAATTGAGAGATATTGAAAAGGAAAGTTGAAAACAGTAGGTATTAAATAATAATTGTATGAGATTAAAAAAAGAAACAGGGTTACAAAGTGAATCAGTGCTGAATAAATGTAGACTGAATACAATAGCATCTGATCAAGTAAATGTTGTAAGCCACCAAAGTCGCTTGACAAGATGGGTAGCATATAAATTTAATAAATCATACATACATACATGCATACATACATACATACATACATACATACGAACATTGAGCTGATTTATTCATATAGAGAGAATGAAGACTGAATTACAAAATAAATATATGATGGAGGAGTGAACAGTTCAAGAAGAATAAGATTGACATAGTTATGGTTGAACAGGCATGATGAGAACCTCAAAAAGAAAGAAGTAAGAGGTTTAAAGAACAAAAGATCAAAAAACGGATGTGGGAGAAGAAAAGTCACTTGGAATTCCCTTTCTTTTCTTATCTCATGTCTTTAGTTTCTTTGGCTTGCTATTTGTTACTCCGCTTCTGTGCTTTGTACAATGTTGTCATTCAAAGAAATGGTCAGGTAGGCGGTTAGATATGCTTACACTTCACACTAAAGATCCTATTTTGTTCACAATTCATAGCAAAATATTCCTGAAATTTTATTATTTCTCTGATCTTGGTTTTCAATGTCTTGATTACTCTATATTTTGGTATTTGCCTGCATTCTTTTATTTATTTAGGTAAAGATACTTTCTCAAAACTGATTTCATCTGCATTCTTTGTCCTTAGCAAGTATGCATGTTTTGGCATTGAAAATCTTTTTTTCCTGCACCAACTCATCACAATGTGTAAAATTGCTAAATTTATGAAAATTCCAGCATATCTTATGACAAGCTGAATTTCTATCTATACATAAAAAGCATTTACCAAACATTTTAAAAAATAGCTATAGTACCCTTCCATTTTCTGCTTGAAGGTCAGCACTGCCAATTTTAAAATATATATATTTGCTTTAAAGCTTACCATTAAAATGCTTCACTTTTTTGTAACACTGCTTCTAGCTTATTATGGAAGCTCTATCAACATTAATCAGATTCCAGAGTTATCAAGTGGTAATCATATAATATTTATAACTGGATTTCAAAAATTCTGAAATCGCTTGTTTATAGATTGCGAATGAAATTCTACCTATCTGAATCTGATATATGTGGATCCAAGTAATGTGGCTTTTTGCAAGTGACAGAAGGAAATTTTGTCAATGGACAAATTTTCAAAGTGCTTTCTAAAAAATTTTTGCTATGGTACTCAATGTGCTGATAACCACTGGGACCACTTTAGCCGGTTTATGCCATAATTTTGATTTTCAGAACTTATTGTTTTGTGATCTTCTCCAATACTTTTGGCACTCTATTATCCCCTTGGTATTGTCATATAAATTATTCACTTTCTTTTTTTAAAACTATAATTAAACTTGGTGTGTTATGAGCCAAGACAATATTTTAACCTGATCATTTTCAAGTATTTTTTCAACTATATGTTCCTACCAATTTTTCATTACTTGGCACATGATAATTT